CCAATCTCATCTGATCTCAGAAGCTAAGCAGGGTCAGGCCTGGTTAGTACTTGGATGGGAGACAGATCTTCAGAAGAGACTGCTCAGAGACAAACAGTTTGGAGACAAGGGGGGAATGCTGCCAAAGTTTAAATGGACTCACCCGTGACAGAACTCTCAAAAATAACCAAGGCTGAGAGGATTGAGGAAATGGTTCTTATGCATGTGTGGCTATCTGGTATTAAAGCCCTTCCAGATACAAACTCATAGTTTTTAGACAGGGTCTTCTACTTAAATAGAAACAAAATTACTATTTTTACTGGCTCTAAACATGTCCTTTGATAGTTAAAGATGGTGTTTTTAACTTTTTTTTTAAACAGTGCATTTTCTTGGACATACATACTGATAATATATTGTTGCCATGGTAATTATACTCAGTTAAAAAAAAAGACCTTGTCTGGGTAAAAGAATAAAATGTCCAACCATTAAAACTCCCATTGGAGGGGCCCTTTTGTTGTTATCTTGTCTATCCCCACTGCAGTTAAAGTAACAGAGATTGCTCCTTGGATCCACCACAGTTGAGTCAAGCCAGCTTCTCTTGAGTGGGAGTGCATCCCTAATCCGGCTTCACAGTGTAAGATCTCCCTCCAAAACCTGAGCGTCCTCCCTCGGCAGGACCCTACTTCCCAGGAAACAACCAGGGACCACGAACGGTGGGATGACAGCCCTGCTCTAGTCACCCTGAAAGTTGACTGACTAGTCTATGCATGGCAGAAGCTTGAGGACTCAACTCTCCAATGGGGCAAGTGGACTGTTTTCTATGCCAGTTATCTCACTGAAATGCATTGTCACCCCTTGCCTGTATCTGTTGCTCACCCTAGTCTTCACCATAGGCTTGGCAGAAACTGCTCCTGCCAACTGGACTCATGGCAAAAGGTTTTTATTAGCTCTCTTCTTCCTCTTTTGGGCAGGATGCATAACTACTGTTTATTGTTACTGACCTGATTTTCCTTCGTGGTCCCAGAGCCCTCAACCTGTGACCTATGAATGCATAGTACTCAGGCAGGAAGTATTGTCACTAGGACTTTGCTTTTCCATACTTACTATTCCTGTGCAGGCTCTGTCATCAGGTCATGCACTCACAACCATACCATCTATCTAGTGTGTTCCCATGGTAATCAGCATAGCTGCTTCAACCCCACTTACCTCCCTTGGGAGCAATGGATCTGGAGTATCCGCATCCCTGGGAACCTCATCAGACCCACCCAGGTGTTTAGCCCTGATAAACCAGTGTCAATGTTCTTTGATGCATGTGCAGCCATAGACCAAGGTGGATATGGAGGTATAGGTGGCTGTGGGGGCCTAACTTGGAAAAGAGCCTAACTGTCAAATGATAACTATATGTACTGTGGAGACAACTCTTGGCCATGTGATGATGTGGGTTCTTACTGTTGCCCTTATTGGGGTTGTGTTTCATGGGCCACAAAAAAAATACGCAGCCCTCTTTCACCCCTGGCACCTGTAACCCAGTAAATTTCACTGTACTTAAGCCATCCGATTGGACACAGGGACATGTAATTAGCATAAGGATAGATGGAAAGGGCATTGGCCCTGGGACTCTGATGTACCTCAGATTTGTAACTGATACCCATGAGAGTTCCTCACACCAAGTTTTTCACTCCTTTTATGAGGAGTGAATTTTCTATTTCTACCAAGGCCAAAAACTTGTTCCTCTCATTGGCTGAGTCTATAGTCCAGACACTGAATGTTACTTCATGCTGTGTTTGTGGGGGGACCAACATGGGAGACCAGTGGCCTTGGGAAGCAAGGGAGCTGGACCCATGGGAACCTTTTAATGAGACTGCCTTCCCAAAACACAGGAAAAGTGTCTGGTTCCTAAAAACTTCCATCACTGGAAATTACTGTATCTCCCGCCCAAAAGGTCAATTCTCCAGCTCAGTGGGAGATTTCACTTGTTTAGGACAGAAGTTTTACAATGACACTGCCCAGGAAACCCAATGGTGGGGAGCTCCAAACCACACAGAACCCCAGCCCCACCCACTGGCCAACTTTTCTAATCTCCGAAAAGCTTAGAACAATCTTACCGAAAACATAGATTGGTGTGTGCCCAGGGCTGTATTGGATCTGTGGGAAACAAGCTTATATGGTGCTACCTAGTAGCTAGTCTGGGTGTTGTGTGCTAGGCTCAATCAGACCATCCTTTTCCTTGCTTCCCCTCAGACCAGGTGAAAATCTGGGAGTGTCCATATATAAAGGAAGATTAAGTAGACAAAAATGGGGTGCCTTACAAATTTGTAATTGAAAAGATAATGAATGGCCTCCTGAGCAAATCATCCAATACTATGGTCCTGCCACTTGGGGAGAAGATGGGTCCTGGGGCTGTTGCACCTCTATATATATGTTCAACTGCATCATCAGGCTGCAGTCTGTTATTAAAAATATAACTACTGAAACAGCCAGATCTCTCAATTTGCTGGCAAAACAAAGTGCTAAAATGTGCAATGCCATCTATCAAAACCGCTTAGTCTAAGACTATTTGCTTGCTTCTGAGGGAGGAGTTTGTGAAAAATTTAACCTGAGCAACTGCTGCTTACATATTGATGATGAAGGAAAGGTCATAAAAGAAATCACAGAATGAGAAAGCTTGCCCATGACGCTGTCCAGACTTGGAGAGCATGGGATCCCTATGACCTGTTTGGAGGATGGTTTTCTGCCATAGGCAGATTCAAAACCCTGATAGGGACAATGGGCCTAGTCCTAGGAGCATGCTTAATACTGCCCTGCCTGGTTCCCTAGTATTATGATCTATTGGGACTATTATGGAGGCCATTATAGAAAGAAAAATGGCTGCACATGTAACAATGCTATGAAAATACAAACCCCTAGATCAAGATGATGCTCTTTGACCCTCAGTGGGTCTGAGCATCAAAGAGGGGAATAACGTAGCAGGGAGGAGAACCAGAAGAGAAACAGACAGCCTGTGTTTTGATAAAGCAGCAGGGAGGTAGGGATGGCATAGCAGAGAGATAATGTAAGGAAATGTGGGCCCCAAATGACCACGTGGAGAGGAGTGATCTGGCCAAGAGATTCTTTATTGCCGGGTGGGAGAGGGAGAGAGCAGAGAGCCAAGAGAGAGAGAGAGAGAGAGGGGCAGGGGCTTAAATACCCCTCAGCAGGACTCAGCATGACCTGATTGGTTAGGATCTTATGGTTCATGCTGATTGGAGGTTGGGGCAGAAGGAGGATTCAAGCTAGACTTGAGGCAGGACTGTGACCCTGGAAAACAGGAGCTTAAGGGTGCAGTAAGAACTGAAACCTATTGGCGCCATTATTGCCAACAGATAAAACCTGAGGAATCTCAATGTGGAGAGGGTCACGTAGCACTGGGCAAGGAGAAAGTCATGTATTAGAGGAATTTTGTTATTTGTATTGAGGTCAAATTTTTGTAGAAAAATGGATGAGGTTTTTTTGGTTTTAGTTCACCCTTTAGGCCCAGTTTGGTAATATTGTATAAAAGACACCCCAGGGGTGAGTCAGAGGAAATTTCTGAGTGGGTATTACCCATGGTAGAGGTTAGGAAGTTTTCCCTAGGGTGTCCCCCAGAGAATACTTGCAAAACTGGAAAAACCTGTCTCTAACCTACATAGCCAGGGGCCAGACTCTCTCCAGGCCAAATGGCGGGAAGGTGAAAGAGAGAAATAGGAATACCAAATGCAAGAACAGCCAGAGTCCAGCACACTGAGGTGCCATAGAGTGCTGGATGGACAGGCCAGGTCTTACCGGTCCCTGTAGATATTGGAGCCGGTGTTGACTGTGCTGAGTGGAATCAACACAGGGTCCTGCAGGAGGTCACAAAGGAATGGGAAGTTAGGGGCATATGTATGACCAAAAGGTCAGGCCCCTGAGTAGTGTGGCTATTAGGTAAAAAAAGCCAACTAGCAATATTTTTTGGGCTCGAGTCCAATCAAAAGGAGCAGTTGCCCCTAATCCTATGCCCAAAACAATTGTATGATGGGAAGGCTCAGCAAAAAATATAGTAGTGTTAGAGTCATATACAAGATAGTGATATGGGACAGGAGGGAGAGAGAGAGAGAGAGAGAGAGAGAGAGAGAGAGAGAGAGAGAGAGAGAGGGAGAGGTTGGGTGGTTTTAGGGACAGAGGTGGGCACTGGCCTTGTTCTTGGTGGGAAATTAGGTGCCTCTTGGCCTTAGTGCATCAGTATCAAGCCTGGACTGGAGACTCCATGGGGGTCCACCATTGACCATATGAGGATCACCATGGAATTGGGGTAGCCCAAGAATGGTGTTCCCCTTCTTTTGGGTTTCATTTGGGCTTCCATGCCAAATGAAAGGAAAGTGAAGAAGCTGATAAGAGAGACATACTGAGAAAGAATCTGCTACTTTCATAAGCAGCAGGTCTTTATTAGGGAGAGGAGACCTGAGAGGGACCCTCGGCCATCAGAATAACACTCTGAGAGGGGCCAGAGCATGCCTTTCTTACAGGCTGGGGATTTAAGCATCCTGTGGAGGGGAAAGGGAGGTTGGAGGGGGATGGGCATTAGGTAAGATGGTTGGGAAGGAGGATGGGGGAGGCACCGGACATTAGCAAGGAGGTCGTTGGGGTTGGGCAGGTATTCATATTCTTTTCTCGACATCCCATCATTTGCGATTGTTTCAGTGTTTCTAGACATTCCAGCAATGTATCCAGGTGGTGGGACGATGTCTCCACCAGGACTGTCCTCTCCTTGTATATAGTGGTGTCCACCCATGGTGTAGAGTGCTTGTCCCTCAAGGGCGAGGCCACTTTGCTGGTGTAAGGGGGTCGCCAGCAGTCCACCAGTCACTCTAGGTCACGCCTCTGCGCAGGACACTGGTAAGAAATGTCGTCAGAACGGGCTTTAGGTTGCCAGCAGGCACAAAGGCGGAAAACTATGACGCTGTTAAGGACCCGATGATGCACAGGAATCAATTTCCTGTGGGGACTGAAATGGCCCTTCTAAACTCTGAGTCCGGGCAGTCAGGTGTTCCCGCTGCCCCGGCGCCGCCTTCTCGCCGTTTGAACGCTAACTAGAGCGCAGCGATGCGAGACTGACTGGCCGAGGATGGGCGGAGCCGCCCGCCTGGGAGCGGGGCTGTGCCTGCCCCCAATCCCACAGTGCCCCGCGACCGGAAGGTGAGCCGTGGCTTCCGGTACCTCCTCGCCAATTCAGGCGGTTACTGTGTAGGGCTGGTGACGATTTAGCGTTTTTGCTTGTTATGGCCGTCGCTATGGAGACAGGTGAGTAGCGTTCTTGTGCTGGAGTCTCTGAAGAGGGTACTGTCCTCGGCCCAGATCTCTTCTCCCGCTTCCCGGACTTCCTTCCAGGCTCAACTCTCCGCGGGGTGAGAGTCGGACCGGCGGGGAGAGAGCTCTTTGGCCTTTTGCAGATTTTGATTTGTGTGGACGTCTTTTCTCCTGATGTGCCATTCAAATTCCGACCCCACCAGCTCCCCGGCTCGGGCGACGCTAAGGGAGAGGACTTAAATTTGAAACCGTCACTGCTTGGTTTTCCTTCTCACATGAGTTTGCATAAGTTTGAAACGTCGTGGATAACGTTGTGTATCATTCTGCCACTGAGGGTTCTCGCTGTCACGCTGTGCAGTTTCTTTTTCAGCTTGCATTTTAAATTTTTTCCTGGTTGACTTAACACTTAGCGATTGTGGTCATAACGTTATTAAAATAGGGGAAGGCATAGTTATTACGGCTTACCCCAGTGATCATGTTAACATCCCTACACAGTGGCTCACAAGTGATAGATATCCTGCCCCTTCTGTTTGCCTCTGTCCTTTAATGACTTACTTTAGTTTTAGAGAAACTCCTACTTACTCTTTTTAACCAGGCCTCTGATTTTCTTAGATTCCTAAGGAAGGTTTCTCCTCCCACACCTAGTCACACAGCTACTTTGGGAAGACTGCCACATGTTTTCCTTTACACAGAAATGTATTTCAACATTAATCAGTTTTTTTTTTAAACTGATGTTTCCTTTCTACAAATCAGTATTACCTATAGTGATGTTTATTTATGATGATTTTTGCTATCTTCTCTCCTAGATGATGCTGGAAATCGACTTCGGTTTCAGTTGGAGTTGGAATTTGTGCAATGTTTAGCCAATCCAAATTACCTTAATTGTAAGTTGTTGAGCACCTCACTAAGTTGGGTAGCTAGCCATTAATGATTTCTGACAGAACAGATGCAGTTTATAATAGTATTTACTTTTATACATTCTCAATTGAATGGGATTTTACTTATGCTGCTCTGTAGATATGATTGAGCAAATGAGGCCTTGTGTTTTGAATTCATTGTGTGTTGGTGGTGGGGATGTTAAATAAGGCGATTATTTTAGAGATCACAAATCAGTAGTCCAAGGATTGGTTTGACCTACAATTTTTTTTTTTATGCCTTTCAGTTCTTGCCCAAAGAGGTTACTTCAAAGACAAAGCATTTGTTAATTATCTTAAGTACTTGCTTTACTGGAAAGAACCAGAATATGCCAAGTATCTAAAGTAAGTTTAACTTCGTAATCATAAATATGTGTATACTTTATTATAATCTAAAGCACTGATATTCAGCAGTCTTCTTAGTTTCACACTAGAAAAATTTATTTTGAATCTCTCCACTTTTAGTTGTCACCACCTTAATGCACTTCATCACTAACTTGAATTACTTCAGTAATCTACTCACTGGTTATTTCTGCTTCTCTTCTTACCTTACTCCCTCAAACCAAACAAAGCAAAACAGTTTACTACACAGAATCAACTTAATCCCTTAAAGATGTAAATCAGTTTCTTGCTTAGAAGCTTTCAGTGGCCTTCCATCCCATGAAGGACAAAATCCAGTCTCTTTCTTGGGCTAAAGCCCTAGGTGAGCTGGTCTTGGCTGATCCAATTTTTTACTACTCTCCCTATCTCACTGGGTTTCTGATCCCAAGGAACTCATAATCTAGGGTACTTGAAAGGAGGATGTTTTCTGGAGGAAATCTTACTTGAGTGTAAGAGCTGCAGTCTTTTCTTTAGGACCTCCTATGTGCCAAGCACTGTGTCAAATGCTTCACATTCATTAATCCACTGTAAAGAAAACATATACACAAACACACCATTCAGATTGTTCAGTAGACAGTTTTCATTTTAAGACTTATTAAATTGCAAAAAGCATATTATAACTACAAACCTATTCCCTTTCAATGATTAAAAACCCCAGATCCCCAAACCAGAAAAACATGGACTCATACCTTTGCTTTGTCTTAATCCTATAGTTAAAAAGCAATAGTGAAGCTGAAACCAGAGTTTTGGACCCAAGGCCTAAACTCCTGAGATTCCGTATGCCAGGTCTGGCCCCGCTCCCCTAAATGCCAAATAAAGAGGCATGGTGAAGGCAGAGAATGGAGGTTTATTACATGGCACAGGACATTGCCATGGGAAGAGGCAAGCATTCAGCTCATCCTCAGTCATCTTCACGGTACAGACATGAGCTATAGGTTTAAGTAGACAAAAGAATTGGGGTAGGGGACAGAAGGTATGCATAGTTATATAGTCTCAGTCACAGGAGTGTTCTGGTTGACCATTATCTCAGTCCAAGGGTTCTCAGAGGGGTTCCAGAGAAGATGTTATAGCTGTCATCACTTGAGGGAAGACATCTGGTTCCCACGAGAGAATTACTGCTGCTCCAAGGTGCAGCCTCATCATTATAGGTAATTGTCCTTGTTTAGAGGGGTGATCTTTCCTGCACATTCCACTATTGCTTATTGGAAGTTTTAGTCCTTTGTCATAAAAATGTTACCAGTTCTGTCCTTTCTGGAATCCAAGGTGATTGTAAAGTGACTGTAAAGAGAATGGCTTAGAGCAAAGACATACAATATGGGTAGGGATGCCAAGCTTCTCCTGTTTTTAGTTAATTTGTGGGCCCAAGTAAGGAGTCAGTGCTTTTCAGCAAAAGCAGTTTGAGTGCCTCTTACAAAACCTCTTTAAAAAAAAAAAATTTTTTTTTTTTTGACCAGGTGTGTTGGCACGTATCTGTGATACTAGTAGTCAGGAGTCTGAGTAGGAGGATTACTACTTCAAGGCCAGTAGGGCTACTTAGCCAGACATTGTTTAAAAAAAAAAAAGTTTGAGAGGAAAATGTTTCAAACTTGTTCTTTATCTAAGACACTAACTGGCTCTTTATGTAAGTGTTGGCTTATTTAATAGTCCAAAGAAAAGACTCTTTTTTCATTAGATTGCAATATGTATGCAGATTTACAAACTCAGTGTTTGAAATTTTAGTCACCTTCAAGTTCAGTCTCATCCACAGTTGCTGAGATATGGTCATCTAAACTCTGACTTGAGGTTTCCAGAGAGTACATGTTATTCCATCAGGGTATAGCTGACTCCATTGTTTGCTAGATGCTCAAAAGTTCTTTCCTTATATTGTGATAAAACATACCTCCTTGTAGCTTTAACCCATTCCTAGTTTTGTTTTGAGATACCAGTGTATGCTGCCTCTGAGACAACAGACATAGGTACTTAAGAGTCAAAAGAGGTTGCAGTAAATGCGGATGATGGAGGGGGTGAATTCAACTATGATATTTTGTAAGAACTTCTGTAAATGTCACAATGTACCCCCAGTACCACAATAATAAAAATTATTTTAAAAAAGAGAGGTTGGAAATTAATCCATTGAACATTTCACTAAGTCTGCATAGATTTAAAATTTTTTAAGTGGTTGCCAAAATTTAAAGAAAAGAAAGTTTTATGCAATGATCCACATTTTCAGTTATTCTTTAAAATAAGGAAGAGTTGGTAACCCCAGGTCTTCATTTTTACCAACTCAACAACTGGCTCCAGACAGTTGTCACATTATTTTACAGATGAAGAAACTGACTTTAGAGAGAGGTTTAAGTACCTTGTTAAGGCCACCCAGCTTGTACTCAGACCCTGACCCCCTTTTTTTTTTCTTTTATTCATATGTGCATACAATGTTTGGGCCATTTGTCCCCCCTTTCCCCATTCCCTCTCCCGACCCTGATCCTTTTAACTACTGATGCTGCCATGAAAAGGAATTAGCCAGGGTAGTGGGAATAGAGCATTCTAGGCTAAGCTACCAATAATTACAGGCAAAGTGTTTATTTTTGAAGTGTGACTAGCAAACCTTTAATATCTTTGAAGGACAGCATAGTACTGACCCTGCAATGCTGCTGTCACACCTGCAGCCTTGGTAACATTGGGAGGCTTGTTAGAAATGGCAGCGCTCAGGCCCTACCCTAGACCACCCAGAATCTGCATTTTATTACTAAAATTATTTAAAAATGCATATTAAAATTTAAGAAGCACTGCTGTAGCATATAGACTATTTCCCAAGCTTTAGATGGTTGCATCACTTCTACAGTTTTGATTTAATGTGTTTTAATAGTCTTATTTATATTTTACTTCTTTGCAGTTTGAAATAATTTCACTTACAATAGCTGTAAGAATAGTAACGAGAATTCTTGTGTATTCTTTGCACAGGTATTCTAAAAATATAACCACAGTACAATGGTCAAATTCAGAACATTAGCATTAATCTATTGTGTAATCGACAGGACCCATTCAGATTTTATCATGATGTCCCATGGTGTTGGTGTCCTGCATATATATCCAGTTTAGGCTTGTTTTGTTGCCATGTCTTCTTAGTTGCGTTTAACCAGAGTTCCTTGGGCCCTTTTATTTCTGTGACCAAAGTACAGAAACATTATTTTGTCCTTTGTATATTATTCTATTAGTGATGATGTTAGTTTTGATTCCTTGGTTGAGGTTGGTGGTGACTTCCAGGTCTCTTCTTACAAGTTACTGTTTTTTTCCTTGTGTAGTTAGTAAGTATCTCATGGAAAAATACTTTGAGACTATAAATATTTTGTTACATAAACTTTTTGCCCATTAATTTTAGCATTATTGAAGATACTGCCTGAAACAATTTGTACTGTGAGGTTTTCTACTGCCATCATTCTACATTTACTAGTTGGAATTTTGTGGTAGGGAAAAGCATTCTCTTGTTATTTATTCATTACAAACATTTACATCAGTGATTCATACTTCTGTGGATTGCAGTTGGTTTTTCTTGCCTTAATTGTCCAGATTTGGCTGCTGAGAGCACCTTCAAATTGGTTCCTAAGTGTTTAGACATATCCCTGTTAATGTTTAGTATTTCTTTTTGGTACTTTTTATGTTCCACGTTCATCTTATGCTTTCCCCATCGCAGCCCTGGAATCACCTATTTCAAAAAACGTGAAAACCAAGATCTGGGCACTAAACTAAGTATGTTAATTGGTATTTAGTATACCAGTACTAGGACTAGTAGTAGTGTACCAGTGGTAAGCTAGGCCTTTTAGCACACAAAGCTAGGGACTATATACACAGATATACACATCTATGTCTGCTTCTGTGTCTGTCTATATATTAAAAATCATGAGTGTATATAAATGTTTTCAATTAAAGCTCATCCTAACCTTTCCCCTTTTCCTTATGTGTAACTCTTTCTGATAGCTCCCAAATTAGCTGTTTATCCAGTGTACTTGCTTATCTGCTAGTCCTAGGTATACATTTTATGTAATTTCAGAATGGCTTTAATCCTGTACCGGGTATTTTTTTTGTGGGGGAGGTGATACTGGGATTAGAACTCAGAGCTTCTTGATTGCTAGACAGGTGCTCTACCGTGAACCACACCCCCTACCCTTTCTGCTTTAGTTATTTTTAGAATAGAGTCTCTGAGATTTTGCAAGCCGGCCTGAAATCTTCCTATTTGTGCTTCCCACATAGTTGTGATGATAGGTGTGCACCACTGTGCCTACCTTTTTGTGTTAAGATCTGCTGAACTTTTTGCTGAACTGGCCTTTAAACTTCAGTCCTCCTGATGTCCTCCCAAATAGCTAGAATTACAGGTGTGGGCCACCTGTTTGTTTTTTTTTGAGATAGGATCTCACTCCAAAACCTAAGCTAGCCTGAAACTCAGCTATCATCCTGTCTGAGAGTGCTAGGAATACAGGGTTGTGCCACCACTATGTAATAGTTCTTTTTGAGGTTGGTTTACTAAATAAAAGTTATCTTTTCATCACTCTTGATGGAGAATCAATGGCTACCAAAGTTACTAAAATAAGTGTTCATGTTCCTCACTTTGGAAGTCACTAGAATAGAATAGCATGATTTATTTCCAAATTTTGACTCCTTTTACTAGTCACTCTGTTGTATGGTCTTGGGCAAGTTACTTAATCTTTCTGACTTAACCTATCTTGCTTTTGAAGATTTTGCCTAATAATGACTTTCCATTTTATGCTTCTCTGCATAAGCAGGAGGAAAAACCTGCATTATCAAAGTGTACTACAGGTCTGGAGGTGTGGCTCAAGTGGCAGACCACCTGCCTAGCAAGTGCAAGGCCTTGAGTTCAAACCTCAGTACTGCCAATCCACTACGCCCCAAAAAAAGAAAAGAAAAAAAAAAAAAAACCCTATACTACATTAATGTCAGTAGAAATGGTAGGGACCAAGACCATTTTTGAGTAATCAATTTAGAAGGTAGCATTACTGACTGAAATTATGTTGATCATTAACTTATTAACTTAAATCCAGGTACCCTCAGTGTTTACATATGTTAGAACTGCTCCAATATGAACACTTCCGGAAGGAGCTGGTGAATGCTCAGTGTGCAAAATTCATTGATGAACAGCAGATCCTACACTGGCAGCACTATTCCCGGAAGCGGATGCGCCTTCAACAAGCTCTGGCAGAACAGCAGCAGCAGAATAACACCTCAGGAAAATAAAGAGCTGGTAGCAGACCAGGCTTTCACGACCTGTACATAATGTATTTCTATTGTACAGCAAAGACAAAGCTTCCGACCATTATTGTGGCAGCACCTGGGACCTTTCTTGTACTTTTTGATCAGCAGACTTTTTGTTAATAGATTGTTTCTGTGAAACCAGACTTGTTCTACTTTGATTTCTCTGTGGATCTGTAAGTTTTTATTAGCACTTAGCAGAATCAACTGAGTAAGAATGGAAGGTGCTATAGATAAGTTTAAGGAGGCAGTGGGCATGGAGAAGGAAAGGGTATCAAATATACCATATCAAAGTCTAAGCTTAGCTGTTCCTGACACATAGTAGTACCTCGGAGAAGTCCATAATCCCCTCACCACGTTACTGTAAAGGACTGGAGTCAAGGACTTCTTTTCATACACAAAGCAAGAATTGCAGTAAGGGACATACCTGGATTGCTCCATGCTGTGCAAACTAGCTTTAAAAAAGAATCACATGTATGTTATTGACCTAGTGATGGCAGGGAAAAGATTGGTGGTTAACTACTAACTGAACTCTTACGATGAGCCTTAAATGCTGTGGTCATTTGGGAAAGTTAATGCTTTCTTGCAAGTACCACAAACCAGGCTCTATGTTAAATGCTTTTTTGCATTCCCAGTTTTTTTTTTTTGGCAGTGCTGGGGCTTGAACTCAGGGCCTACACCTCGAGCCACTCCACCAGCCCTTTTTTGTGATGGTTTTTTCAAGATCGGGTCTCAGGAACTATTTGCCCTGAGTAGCTAGAATTACAGACTTGAGCCACCAGTGCCTGGCTTTGCATTCCCACTTTATTTGCAGAACAATCCTTGTTTGTAAAGGAGCTTAAGTAACTTGCCTGTGGTTACACAGTTAGTAAGCAGTAGAATCCAGAAGGACTTACTCCCACCACTAGGTTATCTAGTCATTAGGTCTTCTCTGCCCACTGCCTCATCCCAAGTGAATTAAGCAGATTACATTAGATGTTCTATTCTTTTCCTTAGTGAAATGTAAGTTCTACATTCTAAAGGCAAAGAAAGTTGCTTTGCAAATTTGTGGAATTTAAGATAAAAGCTCCTAATTCCTTCAGAGATTTGGAAGTTGTCTACTGTACTATTGGGAGCTTTTAGTGATTTGTCACCTCTGATACTATATTTCTTTGAGCTTTTACTAACACAGGTGAAGTCTTACTAAAAATCTTTAAGATCTCCATACGTTACAAGCAAAATGGAGGTTCGTGGGTATTTTAATAACATTTTTTATTGTTTAGACTTACACTGATTTTAACACCATCATTCATTTATTGTTACGAATTCAAAGCAAGTATGAAATTTCTTTTGGAAATCAAAACCAACATCATCAGCTCTTAATCTTCAGAGAACAACATCTCCACAAGGTCGGCCTGAAGACACTCAGATTCCACCAATTTTTGAGGCTGTAGGCAAAGAACAGTCAAGTCTTAACCACTGCTACAAAATGTTACTAGGAGTGGAGTGAGTTCTACCTCGAATGACCAGTCTTTGAACACAGAAATTATGCCATTCAGAAACTATCAGCTAGTAATAACAAGTTTTGTGAAACAGCTAACATACTTACCTTATGATGAATCATTAGAATACTTGGCTCAAGGGCCTTAAACCCCAAATACCAGGAAGCTCCACAGACTAAAACAGGAGACAGCAAGCCCAATGCAATCCATCTCCTCAACTGTAATTTAGGACCCCAGAAGCATGACTGAAATAGAATAGGTGCCCTTTCTTTCAAAACTGAATAATAGATTAAATGGAAAACCACTGATGTAAGTGCTTTAAGGCATGAATCAACTAACTCCTGGCTACAGATTTCTTGGAAAAGTAACTTAAAAACATGAAAATGACTTAATATTTAAACATTTGCAGTAGCTTATTGGGATTGGCCAATGGATGGACAGCCAAGCTGTATTTTTTTGTTTGTTCTTTTTTGAGACAGGGTCTTGCTATGTAGCTGAGGCTGGTCTTGAACTTGCTGAGTGCTGAGATTACAAGCGTGAACCACTACATCTGCCTAAGTTATATGTTTTCATTGCACTGTGAACAGCAATGATGTCTATGATGAAATGTCAAGATCCTTTCAAATACGATTTTTTATATATTTTGGCAGTACTGGAGTTTGAACTCAGGGCCTAGCTTACTAAGTGGGCATTCTACCACACGGGCCATGCTTCCAACTCTTTTTGCTTTAGTTATTTTTTGAATAGGGTATCAGGTTTACGCCTGGACCATGATTCTCCTATTTATATTTCCCGCCTAGCTGGGATGACAGGTATGTACTGCCACACCCAGCTTTTATTGGTTGAGATGGGGTCTCCACAAACTTTTCTGCTGGGGCAAACCTTGATCCTCACGACCTCTACCTCCCTGATAGCTAAGAAGGTCTGGTTACCTGGCTTTTAAATGTGGCTGGTAAAACAAGCGTTCTGATAGAGTGCATTGTAGACTCAACATAGTAAAGAAAAGATACTCACTGTTCCATACTTAAGTAGTGTGGGCACTGCAGTTATTTTCAGTTTTTGTCTGAAGTCATTATTTGGATCTTTCCAACTACACCAAAAAAAAAAAAAATGATTATGAGAAATATTTGGTTAATTACAGTTTGCTTAATATTTGACATATTCCTATATTTAGTATTCTAGTAATCATTAATCTTTTAAACGTTTAAAAAAAAACCCACAAGGTCTATAACTTATTAACCCTCTGCAAAGTTTTCATTTAAAGTGTGACAAAAATATAAAAGCCATTAAATTTTGAATTTACATCAAGCCAAATTAATTACCTTCACTTAATTCTAGTGGAACATTTAATTAGAATTAAATAGCTTTCAGTGGTTTGACTTATTAGAATTTACCTTAAAACGCAGAACCTGAGTGAATCTCTGAGGCTTTTTCCACCTAAGTTTGCAAGTCTTGCGTATATGAGTGAGCGTTTTTTTTCCTACTTACTAAGATTTTTCTCCTACTTGGCAGTAGATGAACACACATCCTTCACTAACGTGTTTCAGCCCCTCTCGGACGACTGGTTCAGCTTTAAAAAAAAAAGTTAATAGAGAATAATTACACATCAGCTGTACAGTCCTCTGCCCTCTCCCCCTGGCTCTTGGAAAGAACTCAGACTTTAACCTGAAGTTAAGACTTTCTGAGGAGGTAAACAAGTCAGGTGTCCTCTGCTGGCCCTAGAACCAATTTAAGGGTTAAGGAGCAATCCCAGTCTTGATTGGCCTTATGTCACACGCCCGGAGCAATGAAAAGCAGAAATATTTGCTGACTGAAAGGAGACCAGTTTACGTGTCCTGTAAGACACTAACCATTTGCGGAAATGAGAAGTTTTAAAGAACTATATCCCAAGGTGATCTGGGTCGGAAGATAAAAGAACTATCTTGGCGGAACCGGGAAGGATTTAGGAGGGGACAAAGGGCCAGTTCAGACTGCCCGTGGATCACCGGACCATGACTCTACCTGTGCCCCTTCTCAAGCCCGCTTTGGCCATCGCCTCCGTCTTCCCTCCACTTCTGGGCAGCATCCCCCAGTCCCGGCCTCACCTTGCACACAGTCGGGACACCAGCTCTTCCCTTCGGCGTCCTTAGAACCGCTAAAGTAGGCGAAAATAGTCTTGTCGTGGTGCTGCTCCACAGCCCGGTTGAACTCCTCGAACCCAGACACGCTCACCTCCTCGAAGAGCGCCATGGGGACACGCAGGGCCGAGGGCCGGAGGAGCTGTAGGGTCCCGCCGCCGCGAGGCGGGGCCCATGCGGGGTGGGGATGAGCCTGGTCCCGGTGGGCGGGGCCGGGCGGGGCCTACGGAAGCCTGCGCCGCTCTGCGGGGCTACGGGAGCCCTCGAGGGCCACTACTCGCTTGCACCGTCTTTCCGTTTTCGTTTCTCAGCTGTTTCGGTGCCGGCTTGCCTCCTCTACCCAGGCTTCTGCCCTAATCTGGTCCCGGCCCCCTGGTCATTGACACTGGCTGCCAAAGCTGCCGCCGTACAACACCTGGAGACTTAAGTGTCTCAGGGCCCTTAACAACTCCCAAGCGGCTCGGCGCCTGTTGCTATGGCGACCGGGCGAGCGGCCGGAAGCAAGGCCTAGTTGGGGGTTGCCTGCCCGCCTCCTGGTAGCTGCGCTTCGCCCCAAGCCAGGTGGGCTCGGGCCGAAGCTGGGGGGAATTCTGGGAAGCTGCGTTAGGCGTCATGGACCTGGGACAGAGGAGATCTTGACTCGGGCCGATTCTTCTTCTCCGTGCCCCCAGTTACCTTTTATTCTGTCTAGGTTTAGTGGGCCCGGGATCTGGGGGGTAGGGGGAGGGTGCGTGGGGGGCAGGAGGGAGAGAGGCTGCGAGGCCGGATCCGAGTGTGTGTGTGTGTGTGTGTGTGCACGCGTGCGTGCGTGCCGCTGCCGGGGACTAGGCACTAAGAAAGCAGTACAGGCGGCCGTCTGGGCAGGGAGTTGCCCGGAGCTAGGAGCAGGGCGGCAGCGGCGGGGCCCGGCCGGGCAGCGCCGGCGCGAGCTAGCGGCAGGGATGCCCCGGCGCTGCGTGGGGACCAGCAGGTCGCGGCGGGGTGTTCGGAGGCTGTGGGGGAGGCGATGGGGTGCAGGGAAGTACCGAGGCTGTGGAGCCAGGCGCCGGGTGAGGTCCTCGGTGCGGGAGATGTGCAGTGTGAGTGCAGAAAGGCTGCAGGATTGTCGACCGCCATTGGGGAGGAGACAAGCCGCGGAGACCTGCGGCTCCACTGAGTTGAACAAGGCCTCGGGAACACCTGGGAATGCAGGCTCGCTTGAGGCTGCAAGAGACCCCAGGGCTGTGTGGGTGAACGGGGCTGTGGGCGAGCCCGAGGTGGTGGGGTCTGTTGGGTCTGTGTGGGTGACTGGATCTGGGGAGGAGGAGGCAGACTGTAGGAGTCCCGGCGGCTGTCAGAGGAAAGGCCGTCCGAGCTCTCTGGGGCATGGGAGCATTCTGGAACTGTGGTTGAAGGTGCAGGCTATGAGAGTGGCTTCAGGATGCTGGGAAGGAAGCCGAGTGGAGCTCCTTCCTGTGCCTGCAGGACAGGGGTCATTCGAACTGGGTGTCCCTGGCCGGGCTTCCTGGTTAGAGACAAGCCAAAGTGGTGTCACAGGACCCTGGGTGAGAGGACAGGCAAGATCCTACCCGGGGACCTCAGGACTAACCTGTGCTGTAGGGCTAGGGGCAGGTTGTGAGAGAGCCTCAGGCCGCTGTGGGCAGGCACAGGCTGGGCTGGCACTTCCCCCCTTGGGGGTGCCTAGGGTGGTAGAAGAGGTGGGCTGTGCAGGTGCTCTGGTTCCTTGGGAAGGAGGACAGACTCCTGGGTTGTCTGAGGTCAGGGGATGGCCTGAGGCTGTGGAGGTGCCCAGAGCCAGGGAAGTGGAGATGGGCTGTGGCCATGCGCCAGGTCTAGGGAGGAGGGGGCAATTGGTACCGGTTCCTGGGGCTCTGGCACAACATGCAATCTGTGGGAATACCCCAGGTTTATGGGGAAGAGGACAGGCTATGGGAGTCTCTGATGCTCCCAGAGCTGTGGAGGAGGAAGCTATTGCTGGGGGTCCCTTAGACATGTGGCAAAGGAGACAAGAGGTGGAGAATATAGGGTCCGGGGATATCACTGACCTGTGGGGCACAGGACAGTCTGTGTGGTTGCCTGGTGCTACTGAGGAGGAAAGTAGATGTGCAGGTGACCCAGGATTTAGGGGAAAGGGACAGGACATGTGGGTAGAGACAGGCTGTGGAGGTGACCCAGGGTCAGGGGGAGCTGCACAGACTCCAGTGCTTTCTGCTCTTGGGGAGCAGGAGGCAGGTTCTCAGGGTGCCCGTGGCCTGTGTGGTCTAGAACAGGCTGTGGTTGTACCCAGGGCTTTGGAAAAGGAGACACACTGTGTGAGCATCCCAGGGATATGGGAAACAGGCCAGCTGCCGGGGCTGTCCCCGGCTGTGGTAGTACCAGGAGACAGGGGAGAAGGGACCAGCTATGGCAGCACTCCAGGTCTGTGGGACAGGCAACAGGCTCTGCAGGTGCCTGTGCCTGAGGCAAGGCCAGGGCTGGCTGGGGGGGAGAAGCTCAGTGGCAGTGTCCTGAGCCCGTGGGAAAGGAGGCAGGTCTTAGGGGAGCAGATGGCTCTGGTACCTGGGCCTGTGGATCAGGAGGCTGGCTGGGGGGCTGGCTCATGCCAGTGTGGGAGAAGGCAGGCGATGGGGATGTCTGAGACAGTGGGGTTGTCCAAGGCAGCAGCATTGCCTAAGCACAGGGGCACCTCAACTGGGGTTCCGTTGGCTCTGAGTATGCCTTCCCGAGTGCCTGCCCCCGTATGTGTGTCTGGCTCTGAATGCCAGGAAAGCAACTCTGGTGATGGCTTGAACCCATTGGAAAGGGTTCATGCTATTGGGATGCCCATGGCTCCTGAGGAGCTGTGGTCTGTGGTAGAGGATACTGGTTCTGGGGCTATCCCCCATTCCTGGGGAAGGAGACAGACTGTTGGACTTCCCGTGGCTCCTGAGTTACCTCGCTCTCTGGAGGTAGAGACTGGCTCTGGGGGGCTTTTAGGAAGGAGACAAACTGCAGGAATACCTGTGGTTGCAGAGCTATCTCCAGCTGGTGGAGGGCCTGTGCAGGAGGAAATTGGCTCTGGGGATGTCTCAGACTTGGGTGGAGAGAGAGAGACAGAGGGGGGACCTGCAGATACTAAGGGTTCCATAAGGATGGGGATGCCTGCTTCTGCCAGGATGTCTGGGCCCATATGGGAGAAGACTGGCTCTGGGGGCATCTCATGCTTGTCTGGAGACAGGCAGACTGCAGGGGTGTCCAGGGCTGTGGGGCTCCCTGAGCTCACAGGGGAGGATACACTCTCTGAGGGTCTCCTGGGCTTATCAGGAAGAAGACAGACAGTTGGGATGCCTGTGGCTGCTAGTGTTTCTGTGACTGTGGAAACACCTGCAGCTTCTGAGGTCCCTGGGCCCCTGAAGGTGAGGGATAGTAGCTCTGGGGATGGTTCCCGCATGTGGAGAAGCAGAACCACTGGGGTGTCCACTGCTGCCAGGGTTCCTGGACCTGTGGAGGGGGAGGCAGGTTCTGAAGGTGTCCCAGGCCTCTGGAGAAATAGGTGCAGTAGAACAATCCCTGAGGCTGTGCCTTTGCCCCTTGGGATGCTTGCAGCTGTTAGAGTTCCCATGGCCGGTTGTGTGCCTGCTGCAGTGTGGGTGACTGGGTCCTCAGGAGAGGAAGAGAGTGAGAGCGTCTCAGGCCTGACAGTGGCAATGAGACAGTCCACACAAGGAGCACAGGCTTTAGGGAAAGAGATGGGAGGTAGAGAGGTCCTGGGTCTGGCAAGGAGGGGCCAGGCTGTGGGGGCATCTTATGCCTGGGGCTGCCCAAGGACTGTGGGGGAAGACACAGCCTATGAGAATGTTCCTGGAGCGGCCAGGACAAGAACAGCTGTGTCCCGAGCTTCAAGAGAAGAAATGGACCTTGGCCATTTCAGAAATCATCCACAGCAGAGTGGGAGGAGACAGGGTGGAAGAGGGGTGGAAGTCAGGTCAAGGGGCAGTGATGTGCCAGAGAGTTATATGGGGGAGGACAGATTGAGGGGGGCCTTCCATTAATGTGTAGAGGCAATGAGGTGGGGGTGTCCTGGGGCTCTGTGGGGAGGGGGGCAGGTTGGGGGAATTTTGTCCTGTGTTGTGGATAAAGCCCCAAGCTGTAGGGGTGTCAGGATGGTGTAGAGATACTTTGCAGAGATGTCCTACGGTTTGTAGTGTAACAAATTGGGAGATTTCTTGTAACAGGAGGGAATGGGCAGATTGCAAGGAGAGGGTGACCCAGGACTTTGTATAGGGGAGGAGTTTGGACTTTATTTGTGAGTGTGAGTGAGTGATAGTTTGGGGGTCACATTTTTTCCCTAGTGGTGAGTGGACTGTGAGGCCTTGGGCATATGGAGGCTTCTGGGGGTAAAGTGCTGACTACATAAAACTTGCAGCTGCTCTGGCCCCAGTTTTGTAGGCCATTCTGCGGCTCCAGCCCCAGACCTGTGGTGCTGTCACTCATGGCCCTCCTCCTGTCTGGTCATGTCTCTGTAGTCTTAGAAATAAGGAATCTCGGACAGCTATCTTTGTGTTCCTATGGATGTTGTCTTTAAGCAAATCTAGTCTGCAAACTTCAGATTTATTCAAAAACTTAAGTTAGGGCTTTTTTTTTTTTTTTTTGAATCTTGAGTTTCACAATTGATTTACTGTGAGATTCTTTGAAAGAATAAATTCCCCAGTATATTGAAAACTAGTCATTTCTTGAAAAACCAGCTTAAGAAATGTAGACTTAAATTATCTACTAAGCTCAGAGTACTGTGTTGTGGGAAATAGAAGAGCAAGACAAGGCCCTTAACCCTCAGGGAATCTTGGCCACCTGGCAAGATGAGATGGAATAGATAAATACCCATATGGGACAGCGCTATGTGAGAAGCACCTGAGTGACAAAGCCATTAACATGTATAAAGAGGTCTTCAGAATAGAGAGAAGCAATGGTAAGGGCACAGCCCTTTACAGCTTACTAAATGCCTTATTATCTGTAACCTTGTGAATGTATGTAGGATGGGGAGAAATTGAAGATTTAGAGACCCATTCTGCTGTTTTAAATCTTGGAATTCTGATCCCTGAGGTTTACTTAAGAGTTGGTCAGAGTTATATCCATTTGGGCCACCTGAAAGAGAGCACCATACTGCTTTTTGAGTGGTGATTAGGATTTATTGAGGTACAATGTTTGTCCATAAAAACCACCCTTCTACGAAATGTTAATTTATCATGGCAGAGCTCTGTTTTGTGAGTGATGTCTTGCTGTAGGCTCTTTAGATTTAAAATTTGGAATCTCTTGGGCCTAAGAGATTGTTATTAAAATAGTAAGCATCTCGTATTCTTGTGAAAATGAGAAACTCAAAAGTGGTTGCTTTTATAAATGGAAGAAACTATCTTACCTGTCTCTAAGCAATCACTCTTAGCATGAGAGTCTATGAGTTACTTTGAGAATATTGTTATATGAGCATGGCATTGTATTTTTATCTATTGTTTGTTTGAAGACTGTTGGTTTAAAAATAACTGTTTCATTTTAGCAATGGTTGTAAGAAAGACTTGCCTGATGACTAAGCTGTCACTATTCTGCACTATCTGACCTAATGGGACCAGGCCAGCCAGCTTCCATCTGTGTTCATCCAGTATCCAGTACCCAGCTAGATGGGATGAGTGACTCCAGATATCTTCAGACCCAGGTAGTTTCGTTTTTCTTCAGATAATTATGAAATATTTCAAATATAAAAGTTGAAAGAAAGGCCTGAATACTTGTGAAACCACCTTCTAGATCCAACAGTTGTTAACAAATTGTCCTGTTTTTCTGTCTACCCAACTGTTTGTCTTGCTAACATTTTTGCAGAGCCATATTAAAGAAGTTGCAAACATTAGGACATTTCACTTTTAAATATTTGTAAGTACTTCTAAAAATGATTTCTTCTACTTAATCATAATACCATTACCACACCTAAAAAAATATCTAACAGCCAGTTTTTATTCGGTTGCTTCAACAATGTCATTTCCTCTGACATTGTATTACAAAACCCTTCAAATACACAGCAAAGGCGAATTTTAAAGTTTCACTGTATTTGTTTCATTGAACATCTATCCTTTGATCCATCCCTCCAGAGATCCATCCATCAATTCATGTTTCTTTTTTGACACATTTCAAAGTCAATTGCAGAGTTGGTACCTTAGCTACGGCTGCATGCATATTGTACACTAGAATTTACTCTTTGTTTACCAGCTTTTTATTTTGATGTAAATTTTACATAAGAAATGAACACACTGAAATGTGTACATCTTGTCACATTTGCTGAGTTTTGACAAATACGTACACATTTGTGACTTGTATTTCTATGAAAACATCATGTTTATTACCCTAGAAAATTCTCATATGTCTTTTCCAGACAATCCTCACTCCTGCCCTCCAGAGGAAACCATTCTTACTTTTATCTGCCAAAGATTAGTTTTGCCTGTTGTAGAAATTCATACACATGAGACCATCTGATATGTATTCTTGTGTAAGATTTCTTTTACCAAGTATAAAGTTTTTGAGATTTGTCTATGTTGTTGCATGTATCAGTATTTTGTTTCTTCTTAATCCTTTTTACTAATTTTATAGTATGAGTCTACCACAGTTTGTTTATTCATTCTTCAACTGATGACATCTGTACTGTTTTCCACTTGGAGTTATCACATATAAAGATGCTGTGAACATTCTTATACAGAATGTTCCATTTCCCTTGGGTAAATAACTTTAAGAGTGAAATGGCTGGGTCATGGGATGGATATATATATATATATATATATATTTTTTTTTTATATATATACACACATACACATACACACATACATATACTTATATTTATTTATTTATTTTGGTGGGATTAGGGTTTGAATTCAGGGCTTCATGCTTGCAAAGCAGGTGTTCCAGTCCATTTTGCTCTGTTTTTTTGTTTGTTTGTTTTTTGTGGTACTGGGGTTTGAACTCAGCCTCACACTTGCTAGGTAGGTGCTCTGCTACTTGAGCCACTCCACCAGCTGCTCTGGTTATTTTGGAGATGTGGTCTCACAGACTGCCTGGGCTGACCTCAAATTACAATCCTTCTGATCTCAGCCTCCTAAGCAGCAAGGATTACAGCCGTGAGACCCTGGTGCCTGGTGGGGAAGGTGTATATTTAGTTTTGTAACAAACAATTGCATGTTTTTACAAAGTGATGGTACCATTTTAGACTCCTTCCAACATCGTCTGAGAACTCCATTTGCTCAACATCTCTGTCAACATTTGATGTTGTCTTAATTTTAGCCATTCTAGTAGGTATGTAGTAATATTTCATTGATTTGGTTTACAAAAATATGCAAATTTTGACATAATTTCAGACTGACAGAAGATTGCAAAAATAATACACAATAGTTCTGAATTCTCTTCTAGATTCCCCACCTATTAACATTTTACTATATATCCCTTTCCTCTCTCACAGTCTCCACATCCACGTGTTATTTTCTGAACTGTTTAAGAGTATATTGTAGACGTTCTGCCCGTTTACCCATGCATACTGTGCCTTTCCTAAAAGCAAATAATTCTCTTATGTAATTATAACTACCAAAGTCTAGAAATTAGGATTTAAATTGTACTTTTGTAATCTGTAGACCTTATTGAGATTTTGTTAGCTGTCCTAATAATATTTAGAGCAAAAGAAAGTCTAGATGATGAGTCATATTTAGTTCTGTGTCTTTAGTTTCCTTTAATGTGAACAATGTCTTTCTTTTATTTTTTTATTTTTCATTTTTGGTTTGAGTTCCTTGCAAAGCAGGAACTCTACTGCTTGAGGCATACCTCCAAGTCCTATGTGAATGATTTCTGAGTCTACTTTTTTGTTTTGTGACACTGACATTTTTGAAGACTGTTGAGTAGTTATTTGAGGATTTTCTCTCAATTTGGGTTTGTCTGATATCTTCTCGTAATTGTATTCAGGTTATGCACTTTGGCAGGCAAACCACCAAAGTGGTGCTAAGTACTTCTCATGGTATCATAACAGAAAGTATATGCTATCAACTTAGTCCAATTACTGGTGATGTTGACTTGAATCATTTGATCAAGGTGGTCTCTCCTGGGTTTTTCCACTGTAAAATTACTCTTTCACCTTCTGTGATTAAAAGTGTCTGCTTTGAGGCCATGTTACTATCTTTTTACTTTTCAAACTTCCATTTTCTAGTTGTAGCATTCACTGACGATTCTTTCCTAAGTCAATTTTTTATTGCAATGTTGGCAAATGGTGATACCTTGTTTTATTCTTCTACATTTATTACTCTAAAAGAATAGCTTTCCTTTCTCTTCTATTTATTTTTTTAGTGCAAACTCTTAGGTTTTTACTTTACCAAATAGCTCATAATCCTTTACTATCACTATTTATTTTGATGTTCAAATGATCTGTGATTTGGCCAGTGAGAACCACTTCAAGCTGGCCCTAGTCTCTTTGAAACAGTCCTCAGTCTCTGACCACTTTATGGCCCACTTTATTTTTTTCTGTCCCAGTCCAGAAATCAGCCATTTATCCTTTAGTGGAGACTGGAGTGTAGAAATCAATGCTGAAATTCAATGACATTGGAGTGTGTCTGTCCTAGAAGCAGAACTGGGAAGTAGATATATATACTTGTGTGTCTATAGGTAACATATATATATATATATATATATATATATATATATATATATATATATGTATATGTATATGTATATATATACATATGTATATATGTATATATATGTATATGTATATACATGCAGGTTTGTACTCACATCTTTTCTCTCTTTCTCCCTCCCTTTCTCCCATCTGTCTTCTTTCCCTTTTTCTCTCCTTCCTTTCCTTTCTATATATCTATTTATATGAAAACACATAAGTTTACACAGTTTCTTCCAGTTTCAATCCAGTACCGCATTAGTCACAAAATATTTCTTTATTGCTCAGTCCTAGAGTATGTAAAAAGTAATTTCTGGATTGTAATTCAGGAAACAGAAGCCTACAAGTAGAAGTGAGTATTTATTTTGTCTTTAGCCCAAGAGCGTATAGTCCAAATACTGTGTTCAGAAATCACTTGGGGTAACTTCATAACTTGGTTATGCTTTGATATTCAGTTTGGTCCATTGGTTTCTGTTGGTGCTCATTCTTAGGATTTTCCTTCATTTTTATGGAGTTTGTTTCCTTTCTTCTTCTCTCTCTCCTTCTCTTCCTCCCTCCCTCCCTTCATCTCATGTATATGTGAAACATTAATATGGGGCTAAATATATCTGTACAAAAAAATACATTCAGGAAAGTGTTATTCTCCACCACAGTTCTTCTGTCCTTTCCGTCCAGTTCCCATCCACACCTTGTAGAAAACTAATCTTACCAGTCTTATTTTTTTTCCTGTTTTCTTTTTTCCGTTGTCTTTTTTTTTTTTTTTTTTTCTTTCCAATACTGGGTTTGAACTTAGGGCCTCATACTTGCTAGGCAGGCACTCTACCACTTGAGCCACTTTACCAGCCCTTGAATTATTTGCCTGGGTTGGCTTTGAAACACGATCCTTCTGATCTCTACTTCCCAAGTAGCTAGGATTACACAGGCTCCTGGCTTCTTGTCTTCTTTTTGCACAAGCAACCAGATGTTTGTGTACTTTTTGGTGTCTCCTTTTTTTCCTATGTGTGGCTGCAACATATTACAGATATTCTTTTGTACTTTGTTTTTTCTGAACAATATATACAAGAAATCTCTCCATGTTCATAGAGATCACCTTATTTTTTGCACCTCCACAGTACTCCATAATACTTGGGCTATAACAAAGTTTATTTAGCAACTGTCCTGCATGGGCATTTTAGTTGACTCCAGTAATTTGTAATTACTGCAGTACAGCAATGAACCAGCCTGTGTCTGTGTCTGTGTACTATTGGGGTGTATCTGCAGGGTGAGTTCCCAGAAGAGAGACTGCTATGTCAAAGGTCGCCTATGTTGTATTTTTTTGCCTGCCCCTTGCTCTGTGATGGTGACTGTTCACACAGCCTCACCGATGGCATGTAGTATACTTGTTAATTTTTGCTAAGCTTTTGGGAGAGAGCGATTGTGTTGTATTTTTAATTTGTATTTTTATGAATAAACATTTTCTAGTATGTTTAAGAGCCACTGTTATATCTTTGTTTTTGTAAGTTATCTATTGTGTATTTTTCCCATTTCCTATTGAATTATGATTTTGCAATCTTTTTTCACCTCAGTTTTTAAGATTTCTTGTTTTTTTTTCCCCACCTGGTAGGCATTGCACATGCTAGGCAAGCAGCCTTTTTTTACTTTAGTTATTTTTCAGATGGGTTCTTGTACTTTTTGCCTTGGCTAGCCTTGGATGGTGTTCCTATACCCACCTCCTGGATAGCTGGGATTACAAGTATGAGGCACCATGTCAGGCTTGTTTTTTGAGATAGGGTCTTGCTAACTTTTGCTTAGGCTGAACTTAAACAATAATCCTTGTGTCTTCACCTCCCAAGTAGCTGGTATTACTGATGTGAGCCACAATACTTGGTCCTTAAGATTTCCTTACATATAGGCAGCCCTTCTAGGTTTTCATATCTTTGGACTTTGTTTATGAGGGTCCATCTTTCCTTCCTTCCTCCCTTCCTCCCTCCCTCCCTCCCTTCCTCCCTCCCTTCCTCCCTCTTTCCCTCCCCCTCTCTCCCTCTTTTCTTTTCTTCCTTTCTTTTCTTTCTGCCAGAGGTTTAAAGAAAGTTTTGTTTCAATATAGTAAAATTTATTACTCTTTCCTTTTATTGAGTCATACTTAAAAAGACTTTCACTATCTGTGTACAGTGGCTCATACCTGTAATCCCAGTTTCATGGGAGGTAGAGATGGGAGGATCTCTGAGGCCAGCCCAGGCCAAAAACTGAAACTGTATGTCAAAGGACCAACTGAATGTGGTGGTTCAAGCCTGTAATCCAGCTTCAAATGGGTAGGAGGATCATGGTCCCAGGTCAGCCTGGGCAAAAAAGTCAAGACTCTATCTGAAATATAGTTAAAGCAAAAGGTCTAGGGGTGTAGATCAAGTGATAGAGCTCTTGCTTAGCAAGTGCAAGGCTCTAAATTCAAAATCCCAATACCACTAAAAAAACAAAAACAAAAACAAAAACAAAACCAAGCTGGTTGTGGTGGCCATGCCTATAATCTCAGCTTTGTGGGGGCTGCCAGTCAGAGAATCTTGGTCTGAGGCTGGCCCTCAGCAAAAAGCATAGATCCTATCTGAAAAATAAAGTGAAAAGGGCTGGAGGCATGACTCAAGTGGTAGAGTATGAGGTCTTGAGTTCAAACCCCAGTACTGGAATTAAAAAAAGAGACTTTTACTACACTCACATTAAAGAGGAATTTGTCTGGTTTTTTTGGTAATACTAATATCAAATTCCTGAGGGTTATTTTTAGAGGAAAGGCTTTCCCCAAACTGCCATACATTTCAGTGCTGTTTACCAATCTGTGCACCTTTTAGGTGACTAGTTTTTACTGTCTAGTGGGGTTTCTTAGTGCTTTTTTTTGTTTCCAAAATAACTTCCCTGAAGTTTGTAACGGAGCTGTTTTGTTTCTTCATATGCATGACTATGCAAACACACTATGGCAGCTGGAGAGGCCATCCCCAAGGAGAGGCATCAATGACACTGGGCTCACTGAATCTGGAGATGTGGATTCACCTATTTACTTGTCTTTGACAGGCCCATTTGAATTTTTTTTTCCTGGGACTGGGGTTTGAACTCAGGGCTTTGCATGTGCAAACTGGGCACTCTACTACTTAAATCACAGCTCCAGTCCATTTTGCTCCAGTTATTTTTGGAGATGGGGTCTTAAGAGCTATTTGTCCTGGTTAGCCTCGAACTATGATTCTCTTTATCTCAACCTCCTAAGTAGCTAGGATTATAGGCGTGAGACAACGGTGCCTGGCTCTTTGGAATAATTTTTTTTAATCTTATTTTTATTTTATTTTTAGATACAGAGTCTTTACATGTAGTCCAGCTGACCTTGAACTCTGTAACCCAGGCTGGCGCAATCCTCCTCCTCAGCTTTCTGGGTGCTGGGATTGTAGCTGTGTGACATTATGTCAGGCATAATCATTTTAAAATTTTAAAGTCATAAATTTAAATTTTCCTTTGGCCTAGTAATACCAGAGAGATCACTTATCCTAAGGAGATAATTTAAAAGGAAACAAATATGTTAAATATATGCAGATGTAAATTGAACTAACATTTTTATTAGTGTAAAAACTGGAGCGATTTAAATGTTTAACAGTAAGATCATAGTTAGGTTAAGCATGAGAAGGCTATTCAGATTTTGGAAAATGTAACCAAAAGAATTGTTGCTATTTTTTTTTTTCTATGAAAAACAGCCCTAAAAACTACAGGCAGGTGGAAACAAGCTTATGCTTAAGTGTAAAGCATAACAAAAGTTGTGTCTATCTTGACGATAATTGGCAGAAACTTGTCTATGCCTGCCTGGGTTTGAACTGTTTAGAGCTAAGTGCATCTAGGCACAAGGTAAAAGATGTATCCAGCCAGCAGGTGGAAAGTCTGAGGGAGACCTGAGGAAGCACTGTTTCTGGTTTCAGTCTGGTATGGCTGTGCTAGTGCACAGAGGTAGTCCTCTGTGGAGCAGTGTCTGAGAATGGACTAGTGGATTGCGTTGGTCAATTATTGGATCCTGATATTTTGAAACAGGGCAGAAATCTACAACTGGGAGACCAGGAACTTACTGGTTGTTGCTTGAAGCTTTCTGGATTGCCTATAGAGGAGGTTCTCAATATGATACTGTAAACAGAAGGACAACACTGTGGGAGTGGTAATTGTAGGGTAGAACCCAGGCTATGTGGTGTATGAAAGTGGCAGATTCTGTCCGTACAACAAAAATACCTCTTCATCCAGGTAATCTTGTAGGTAAAGTATTAGATAATCTTGTAGGTAAATTATACACACATTTCAACTGTGCAGAGTGTTATTTTTCTGATGTGTGCTTGCTTTTGTTTACTCTTTAAAGAATCAGCTGCAGTTTAATAGGAATACTCCTGCACATCCGAGCAACTTGGCAATCCGATATTCTTGCCCACATGCAATTAGAATCGAAAAACTGAAGCACTCGTATAATGAATCCTATCATTGTAAAGACTCAGATTTCAGAGTTGGTCCTGACCTCAGCAGCTCTATTTCATTTTCTGTCATATCAGAAGAGAGACTTAGCTATGCAGTCCACTTAGCAAAAAGAGATGTGAAACGAAGACAGGAACACATAAAAGAACATCTCAGAAGTCAACCCCACAGCACCCAGAAATGTGGACATGCAGAGTATAAGATTTCTCACCACCAGGTAGAAAGGAAGGACTCAAAGAGTCAAGAAGTCTGTCAGTGCAGCCACCAGCCATCCAAAGTAGGAATTTCCAGCTCAGGTGCCAAGGTATATGTGTACACATCTCACCCAGGATGGTCAGACCTGACTGTGCCAAATTTGCCACCCACACGTGATCCAGGACTTCAGCCACATTCCAGGATAGGCGACCACAAAAACCTATGTGAACAGAAAAGCCTGCTAGAAGTTCAGCGACTTCAGAAAGAACTGAGCAGTTGTATCCATAAAATTGAAGAAGTAACTAAAAAAGGTGAGAAAAAGAGATTGTTCACTTTGAGGTGGTGCCATGAGTATGAGATAACTCAGAGGCATTCACACTTGCCACTGTTCTCCATTCCCCAATGTTTCCCTGTCTCTTCCTGTGTGCTGGTTGGTTCACTCGAGCTGAGCACAAGATTGCTGGGCTTGGAGTTTGACCTGCTGCCAGCTGTAGGCTATACTTCAGATGTGCGCTAACTGAGGCTCCAGCCTGGGAGTTTGGGTTCCTGATGTGTGAATCTTAGATCTTCTGACATCTAAGTGCAAAGTGTCCTATAATGTTTTCCTTGTTTATTTAGAAGTCCTTCTGAAAACATTACTTTTAATTTTAATTTGCTTTAAAAAGAACACAGTATTTGTAAGTTAATAAAAATCAGGTCCTACTCAGGTAGTGCTAAGACGAGTGATACCAGTGATGAGGGAAGTTGATATTTTACATCATCAGAAGTGTTTCCTGCACTTTAGTAATGATCTCAGTGCCATTACTTTTTTCCTGGGAGTAGAGGAGAATTTGGGGTTGCTTTAGCTAACAAGTAGGGAATCAAGCCCAGCTTTTAGATTGAGGAGTAAGGAGTTGAGTATCAAAAGGAACCCCTGTGCTAGGATGGTACATAATCCAGAGCTACAATTTGCATTTTAAGTTTAATATGTGCATATGTACATAAATGCATGTGATATAAAGAATTTAAGCTATCTTAAAAACTATGTGCTGATTGAAGCACGATAAAACAAAACTACATCCTGAGCATACCGTGGCACAGGTCTACTAAGGAAGGACTACAGATTTATTTCTGAGCCTCTAGGAGCAAGCTGTCGAGGAAGCTATGATCAGTTGCAGAATTTACGGAGTCTAAAATAGAAAAAAGCAGTTGTGCAAGTAAAGCAACTTATGCATACTGCAGCCAGGAAGAAGTTTCTCCCCTAGGTCATCTTAAAGAGTATGTTGTGTAATATCATGAACATCCCCATAGGAAAATGACTGAAGTGCTGTGCTTATTTCTCATGGCATTCCTCAGTGTAGGTCAGTGGCGCAACCCCAGCACACACTTCAGGTGGAAGCCATGCCAACAGGGGAACTGAGGCATGAAGCCCTCTGCTTGGCTGACCTGGCCTTACACAGGGGCCTTTAGAAGGAGCCTCTCAAACTCTCTGTAGAAAAGGACTGGGTTGGTGTATTTTATTTACTTAAAGTTTCAGGTTACTCACAGATCAATACTTTGTAAAGTATGATAAAAATGCCCCGACCTTGGCAAACTACTGTAAATACATGTAACTCTGCACTTGCCTTGCTGTGACCCTACCCACAGGTCTCCCTTTCAGCAGCCTTGAAGCCTTTGCACTTCCCAAGGGCCACTCTGTAGACCGATTGTGTCAGAATCATCTGCAAAGCGAGCATTAAAAACCCCTTTCTACATTGGTTTTTGTTTATACTCTTGTAGCATGGAAATCGGGAGTTTCTCCCCACTGGGCAGCCCAAGGAAGAGACAGAAATCATTTGGCTTATATAGGCTCCTGTGAGACTGCATCTATACATATAACTCCTCAGTTTTTTAAAAGAAAGCAGCCTTATGCTTTTCCTTGTTTGACATTTATTTTTTGTTTTTGGTGCTGGGGATTGAATGCATTCTCATGCATGCTAGGCAAGTGCTCATCACTGAGCTACACCTCCAGCCCCTTTGTTTGACTGTTTAATGAGTACATAATTAAAAAAAATCATAGTCATAAAATATACTAATAAAGTAATGCTTTTATCTGATTTATATATTGGAGTTTTGTAAAAGAATGTGTGCATTAACTATTTAGAACTGCACACTGGAAGGAATGAATAGAGTATGTGTCCCTTAGGCAGTCTTCCAAAAACAATTGGTTTGAACCAGTCTTTTAAAAATGTGGAACACCAGACTGGCAGAGTGGCCCAAGCAGTAAGAATGCCTGTCTAGCAAGCGTGAGGCCCTGAGTTCAAACCCCAGTGCCACCAAAAAAAATAAAAAGAGAAAAATGTGGAACCCCCTTGTGTTTACAAAGGGGTGCTTCCTAACAAACACATGAAAACTTTAGATGTGCAAATGATTTTACCAGTTGCTATCTTAATGTGTTAGAGAAAGGATTTATTTTTTGGGTTCACGATAAGAACGTATAAAAATAATTGGGCTAAGTATAAAAATAGTTCAATAAAGAATTTTTTAGAGAAAAATAGCATAATAGCATAACAGATTTTGGCTCAATATAAAGAATTTTAAAATAATAAATGCTTCTCAGTGAAACAGCTGTCCAGTAGGATTTGATTCAGAGAATTCCAGCATAGACTGGACCTTGCCAGTCTTCACGTCCCTTCCATTTCTGAGTTAGTATGCAGGGTCACTTACTCAATCCTAGTTTCTTGGGAGATGAAAAATGATAGTTTCTGTTATGATAACCACAGTCATTTTCTTAATTAAGTGAGGGCTCTTCAATGTTACACCTTTGAAAGTTTCTGTGTATGGTTTAAAATCCACTTGGGGGGAAATCTTTTCAGATAGACCAGAGGAAGCTTTGGATCCCGATGAAGAGCGGCGAGTCCGTGTGAGGAGACAGGAACAGGCTGTGCGCTGTGCCCGGATGCTCTACGTCCTCCAGCAACAGGTGTGAGAAACCCAGGGAGAAGTGAAGTGGTCAGCCTGTGTGTTTCTTCTTTAGGGAATTTCACTTATTCTTTGGTCTTAGAAAGATTATCACCAAAGTGCCCTATATGAGTTCTAATGGCTTTGTGAGTCTGCTTCCTGAGCACATGGCCAAGTCGTTCTTCTCTTGGTCATCTGCCCTGAACTCTTTTTTTTGGGGGGGGGGTATGTGGGGGGGTACTGGGGTTTGAACTCAGGGCCTCACGCTTGCTAGGCAGGTACTGTACCACTTGAGCCACTCCAGCAGCCTATTGTCTGGCTTTCTGTGAGTGTATTTTGTGTGTCTGGCCAAGTTCCTCCTAAATGGTGGCTCTTGACTTTTTGAAGCATAGACTCTTGAGAATCTGCTAGAAGCCATTTTCCCCTGAAAAAAAAATGCTTACCCATCACACAGCGTGTATTTGTGTGTATGAAGTCAGCTGGGTCAGTTATCTGAGACCCTTGATCCCCAGGTAAGAAGCCTAGTCTTAGAGGAAGGGACTTTCTTGTTTTCCCATCTGCCCTTGGTTCATTATTTGCTAGATTCTTTATTAATGGTAAAGAATGTAGACTGTGTTAAATGTCTTTCAGGACACACTCTTTGTGGCCACCAAAGTCACATGTTGGTTTTATTACTTGAACCCAAAACTGTACTTTGTCATTTGAAAGAAAATGCCCAAGTTAGATTTGGTTCTGAATTCTTTTTGAGATCTATTTTGGTCTTTATTCTGGACTGCTGCCTTGAGATTGTTCTAAAACACAAAAATCTTTTCTTCTTAAATCTCTGTTTCAAAAGACTTCAGTGACTGTCTGTAACTTAGAGAAAAAGAATGAAAGCTAAACTCTAGCTTGGGACTTATGACCTAATGATCTGGCTCTCCTACCGTTCCAGTGTCACTTCCACCTTCACTCATTCATGTTAAATTTCTCTTACACTGGGGACTAAGGTGAAAGGTGAGCACTGCCCTGTTTATCATCTTGAGCTGGAAGCTAATAACTTGTTTTTGGAGTGTGTGAATAAGGAGCCTTTTCTCATTTTCAAGTGACTTGAATCAATAATGGTTATATTTGCATAGGACAAAATGTATTTTTTTTCTATAAAAAAAAATCAAAGTTTTGAAGATTTCATTTTTCCCCCCTTTACAAAACAGATAAGAGAAATCCAGGAAGAGGTGGATAAGTTGAGTCCACATAAAATCAAACACACTAAGAAGGTATGATGTAATTAAATTATGATTAGTACTTATTAAAATAAGCTCATTTTCCAGTGTTTTGTTAGTATTTGTTTTCTGAGCTGATACTATTTATTGTCAGTGCTTGGGGGTAAGCAATATTCTGAATATGGGGTTGCCTTAACTCTTCTTAAACATTCTGAATATGGGTTCTAAAAATAATTCCTGTTATTGTTACTATTCGTATAAAAACAGAATAGGAAGGGAAAGACTTCATTTGTCATTAGAAAACATTAAGCTTTATAGTTCTCTTTACTACAAAAAATCTTCACAATAGGCAATGCTTTCCTTAGAAAGAAAGCAGACTAGTAAGTGTTCTTAACGGTTGGGTTGATGTTAGGAAGTTCTGAATATTGAAATAACTTGTTTTGTTGCCAGTCATGGGCAATGTCTAGGCTGGCCGCCGCCCATCGAGGAGCCATCCGGGCCTTACAGGTGTTTGTCACTCAGTTCACTGACCGAGGGGAGCGCCCCCTCCCTGCTCGGTGCAGGGAACTGGGCAGCCTTATTCGCCAGCTTTCACTCTGCTCTGCCAAGCTGGATACTGATCCTTCCATCCCAGATGTGGTTATAGATATCCTACAACAAATTGAGGTATGAAATGGACTCCAGTTTTTATTAAAAATGTATTGTTTCTAAGCAGAGAAATAATGCTTACAGTCACCTAGTTTCAGTAGGTGAGAATGTAAGAATATAAGTAGGGCAGAAGAAACACTTCATTTTTATTTTATTGTTTTTATAATCTGCTTTATATTGTTACATTTCAGTTCTTTGAGAATTGGTGACTTGAGTATGAGTGTGTAACAACTTGAAACTAGGTCCTTTGATTAAATGGAATGTTCCATTCCCTGGCCATGATAAATTCCTTAGAATTTATCAGTAGGGCCTGGGACATAGAGTGCTTGCCTAGCCATGGGTAATGCCCCAGGTTCCATCCCTAGCACAGCAGAGAAGGGGGGTGGGGGGGTTGAGGGAGAGGGGATGAGGGAGAGAGAAATTATTAAGTCTAGAAAAGGGAAACAGTAAAGTACTCTTAGGGCTTAGATTAGAATATCTGTAGTTAATGTAGGTAGATTATAGAAAAGAAGAAGCACTTGATACATGGGAGCAGATCCTAAAGTGTTGGGATACGTCTAGAAATTGCTGAGAATCTCCAGTGGCATGCTTTAGTCAGGAGCAGACAGTGTTTTAAGTTCTCATTGGTGACAAAGACAATAACAATATGACCTTGATTTTGTAACTCCCTCAAGTTTTGCAGAGTGCTCTCACATAATGATGCCATTTCATACTTACTGCAGCACTGATGTGCAATTGGTTCTATTACTACTCTTTTAGACATTAAGATTTTTTAAAAAAATAGCAAGGGTCAAACAGATGGCACAGTTGCTTCTCTTGAGAAGTAGAGATGAAATTCCTGTCTTCCGCCTCCCATGCCATCACCACTTCCACTATGCCATACATATTCACACATTAAATTTCCGTGCATTAAAACAAGCATGACCTTTATGCTAGCATGGTAGCAGGTTGTTAGCTATAGAGGGAAGGTGTAGTGGGGAGAGTTCTTTCATTGATTAGCTCTTGGTGTCTTCATGGCCCTTTGCCCTGGTTTGTGTTTGCTGTGGTTACATTCATGGAGCTGGAGCCACTTGCTGGAGTGTCACTGTCAGATACACACCTCAGAGCTTTCCCAGCATGTTGAGTCGAAATGCTTTTTCAACTTAGCCATAGGAGACATTTATTGGCCAAAATGATTTCATTGTGAGACCACAACCCCATAATCCTAGAAAGGATCTCAAGAGATCATTGCAAATTTGAATAAGAGTACCTTTAATGTTTTATTTACTTATTTATTTTGGAGGTACTGGGGTTCGAACTCTGGGCCTAGTGCTTGCTAGGCAGGTGCCCCACCACTTGAGCCACTCTACCAGACCGTTTTTGCTTTAGTTATTTTTCAAGTAGGGGTCTCACATTTTTGTCTGGGGCCAACTTCAGGCTGCCATCCTCCTACCTACAGCCCCTCACTCCTGCATAGCTGGGATCACAGATGTGTTCTATCATGCCCGGCTTATAATTGAGATGGGGGTCTCAGTAACTTTGCCCAGCCTGGCCTCAAACTGTGATCCTCTCAATCTCCATCTCCTGTGAGACACTGTGCCTGGCTCCTTTTAATGTTTCTTAAACATAATGTTTAACTCCTACTTTTGAAAATATTCAGTGATGCAAAAATTGGTCTTTCTTGTTGTTGTACTAAACCATTTCATAGTTTACTATTTTCTTGTTACCTTACTGTCATCTAAACTCCAGCTCCCTGGCTGTATTCATTTGTCCTTAGTTTCTCCTGACTAGATGGAGACTAGGCCCTCACTGCCCAGTAATAAGCAGTTGGGTTCTTTTAGAGGATACGCCTTTTTAGGACAGAGTGACGCATACCTCCTGCATTATTGTGGTAGACAAGTGATCAAAGCCACTGGACCTGCTCAGTTTCCTTTAGTTTATGGAAATACATGTTACATATAGTGTTTTCCAATCACTTAAGATACTACTTGAGTTAATGAGGTTTTGTTGAGAATTAAAGTGCTTTTAAAGTTACAGGATTATGTTCTGAAGACTATAGTTAATTTCTGAAATGTTGATCCTTAATTGTAAGATTTGGATGCCTTTAAAAGTACTCATTCTCATTATCTCTTCGTATTGGTGTTAATGAGCTAAGCACGTAAAAGGATATGTAGAAATTACTTTTATTGATCACGTCATAAATAATTAAAATTTTCAATTAAATTAAACATTTCATTACCCCCTAGAGAGACCCATTTAGTAGCACATTTCTCTGGAGTTTGTACTTTTCAGTTTTGGACTAAAAGCCATACTTCTATAGGTATACTGAGGAAACAATAGGCTATCTCATGGCAGGCTTTGGAATGTCTCCTGGAAAAGAAGCTGTCACCAAAAAAGATGAAGCAGTGTTTCGGTGAGAGTCGGAGCAGGCTTCCTGTTGATAGCCAGAGGACCATAGAGAAATGGCCCAACACATTACCAAAGAGTGAGAGGAGGCCCTTCACAGCCAAGGAGACGTTTCCCCAGGAGATGAGTCGACCTTCAGTGGCAAAGAGGCTTCTTGCTGGTATGTGTCTTAAAATGTTTACTGCAAGATATTTTAGTTTCTGAAATTGAGCTGTAATAGTTACTGCACTAAGAGCAAAGCTGGGATTTATAAGCTAGCCTACAATAGCTACACTTTAACTAAGACTAGTATATAGCCCAGTATGCTTCCTGAGACGAGAGGCTGGAGAAAGTCATTAGTATATTCTAATGACAGCATATGCACCCCCGTATCTACAGACATGCATCTGATGCACATGCCTTGTTCACACAGGGTTCACGTTGTTCTAAGTGGAACCGTTAGGTTGGATGGTATGCATGTTTAAACAGCACTGCCAGCTCAGCTCTCAAAAGTGGACATACAATTAACTATGTTCCCACTAGCATTGACATCTGTGTGTATTTTCCTCCATACTTTGTTAATAAAATTAAGGTGTTTTTCAGTCTCAGTGGGAGATGGCGTCTTACCATATTGTACCACAGTTCCCAATTCCTCATGAGGGTCACGTCTTCACACGTTCCTCAGCCATGTGTGTTTTCCTGTGGTGATTTGCGTGTGTGTGCCCTTTATCCCTGGCCCTTTTGGCCTCTATGCTTCTGGATGCATAGAAGACTTTAGTAGATTCTGGATCTCAATCATTCTTTGTTTGCATGCATTGCACATATTTTCTGTTTAGTCACTTATCTTTGAAATTTACTTGTGATGTTTTCATCTGGTACAGAAAATTTAAATTTTGTGAGCAAATCCATCAGTCTTTCTTACATATTTTAATACTTGATACGACAGTTCTCTGTTCTTTTTCAAAATTTTGCTTATGGTTGTTCATTGCTTATTTTCTTGCAGATTTGGAATGGGCTTGTCATGTTCCATGAAAAATGCAGTTGGCATTTTGATTGGTTTCACATTCGGTTTGTAGGCTGATTGGGGAGAAGCGATGTCTACAATGTGTTCTTTCTGTCCATATACTACTACTGCTATTGTGAATGGGGTCTTTTTAGATTGCATCATGAATTGGTTGTTGCTACTTAAAGGAAACCTTTTGGATTTATATATTGCTCTTATGTCTGGAACTATCCTGAAATCTCTTATTATCATGTTGTATTTTGTTGAGTATGAGGTATAAAATTGAAGATTTCTGAAAATGGAGGGCATTCTTTTGTTTATTTATTTATTTGTATTTTATTGGCCATACTGGGGTTTGAACTCAGGGCCTTGCACTTGCTAGGCAGACACTCTACTACTGAAGCCTCATCCCCAGACCTTTTTTGCTTTACTTGTTTTTCAGATAGGATGTGGCATTTTTGCCTGGGGCTGGACTTGGACTTCAGTCCTCCTGTCTAGGTCTCCCATATAGCTAAAACCACAGGTACAGGCCACCATGCCTGGCTTTTGATGGATGAGATGGGGTCTCACTAACTTTTTGTTGGGGCTGGCTTCAAATTGCATTCCTCCTGATTTCCTCCTGGGATTATAATCGTGAGCCACTACATCCAGTTTCTCTTTTTTTCCTCTGCTGGAGATGAAACCCAGGGCTTTACACATGCTAGGCAAGCACACACTCTGAGCAGTATTCCAGCCAGAATGCTTTCTTAATTGATATCTTACAGTTAATCGTAACATTTAAAGTTTTTAAACATTTAAAATTTCCCATTGATGCATCAAGTAATGATATAATTTATGTTTTACATTTGATAAATTAAGGATTTTGTTGGTTAATTCTTTTGTCTTTTTCCAGATAGATGAGCTCACTTATATATAAGTAAGGACAAATCCAGTAAACTAGTTTTTCTCTTTTTAATTAAAGTAGAAGGAAATACATTTCCTTCTCAATTAGTACCAGAAAACAAAAACATTTGTGTAACATTATCCAAATCAAGAATAGAACACTACCAGAACCTAAGAAACTCTCCTTAATCTCCTTCCATTCTTTATCCTTCTCCCTTCCCTCAGATTATTATTTTTCTGATTTTTAATACCATATTTTGGTTCTTCTGATTTGGAACTTTATAAAAGTAGAATTGCACAATGGATATTCTTTTTGGACTGGCTTCTTTGACTTTATATTTTAAGTGATGCATCTGTTCTGTTTGTGTATTTGTGATTTTTTAAATCTTCATTGCTATACTATATTCCATTGCATGCAGATATCACAGTTCCTTTGTTTTAATCATTAGACTGGTTGTGCATGCTAGGCAGGTACTCTACCTCTTGAGCCACTCCTCCAGCCCTTGGATGATGACAAAGAAAACTACTGTTGTTGTTTTCACATATGTTTCTTGGTACAAGTGTGCATATATTTCTGGTGGGTATGTTCCCAAAAATATAATTGTTAGGTAGCTTATTAGTACATGTTTATTCAGTTGGTGTAAAGATTTTTCTCAAAGTTGTTTTATCATTTTACGTTCCCACCAATAGTGTATGAGAATAATTATTACTCATATTCACCAGTATTTCTTACTATAAGTTTTTAAGTTTTTAGCCACTTGATGTGTGAGGCTGCCATCATTTTAATTTTAATTTGTGTTTTCTGCATAATTAAGGTTATGAGCATTTTTCATTTATTTTTAGGCCCTTTAGATGTGTTTTGTGAAATGACAGTTCAAGTCTCATGTCATCTTTCTTTCCTTTTTCTGTATCTCTTGACTTACTTTCACTCTCTCCTTCTTGTTTCCTTCCTCTGTTTTCTTTCCTTTTCTGCTTTTGCAGTGCTGGGGATTGAATCTGGGACCTCACACATGCACAGCAAATGCTCTACCACTCAATTATACCTCTACTTTCTCTCTGTGTCTTTCATTGATTTATAGGAGTTTGCTTTTGTAGGAATTTTCTTTGTGGGAGCCCTTCCTCAGTAGCATGTTATAAATATTTTAGAAACAAGATGTGGCTTGCTTTTAAATGTCTTAAAGGTGTTTTTGATGAACAGGACTCTTAATTTCACTGTAGTCCAATTAATCACTCTTGTCTTATACCCTTTGTTGGGTTTTTTAGTTTTGCTTTTTTGTTTTTGTATCCTAAGAAGCTTGTATCTTGCAGGGCATAGTGGTACACACCTATAATCCCAGCACTCAGAAGGCTGAGGCAGGAAGAGCGGGAATTTCAGGGTAGCATGGGCTACATAGTGAAACTCTGTCTCAAAAAACCAAAACCCCTCAAAAAACAGAAAACAAAAGAAGCTTTATCTGTACCAAGGTTCAGAAGACATTTTCCTGTGTTCTTTCCTAGAAAGCTTCATTTTCATCCACATGAAGACCCTACTGGCCTGGCAGTATTTGTTAAAAAAATTATTCCTTCCCTGTGGTACATAGCGCTGCTTCTGGTAGAACCATGGCCTGTTTCTGGGTCCTCACTGCCCTCCTTTGAGCTAAGTGTGCCAATGCTGCACTTTAATTATTCTCCCATCCAAGTACTAACCAGGCCCGACCCTGCTTAGCTTCCGAGATCAGACGAGATTGGGCGTGTTCAGGGTGGTATGACTTAATTATTCTAAGTTCTCCCCCCAACCTCCATATACCTGGAGTCAAGTGTAGGCCCTTGTATATGCAAGTACTCTGCCACTGGGTGTCTTGACATCCAGTGAGACAGCTTTTCATACCCGTCCTTCCCCCAGTGTCCTGATTAATCTTTTTTTTTTCTTTTCATTTGTTTGTTTTTGTTTTTTGATTCAGGGTCTTGCTATATATCCCAGGCTGAACTAAAACTTGAGATCCCCAAGTGCTGGGATTACAGGCATGCATGCAAATGTACAGCTTGAGTATCATGGCTTATTTTGACCCTTGGTGTTTCCATAGAAATTTGTTGATTTCCATCAAATGTCTTCTCCCACTCCAAAAAATAAAAAGAAAAAAAATTGTAGTGGAATTTTGATAGGGAGTTGGTGTCTTTACAATGTTAAATTTCCCAATCTGCATGCAGGAGGGATCCCTCCATTCATTTAAGATGTCTTTAAAGAATCTCAATAATGTGTGTATTTGGGGGGGGTCTTATTCATCGTGATTAATTTGTTCTTTGGTATTGATATTTTTAATGTTTTTATAGATGATATCTTTTTAAAAGTTTAATTTTTAACACTTATTGTTGATATATAGATACACAGTTGATTTTCATATATTTACTTTGTATCTAACAAAGTTGCTAATAAGAGCATATATTTCTAATAATTTATCCATAGGTTATTTTGAGTCTGGTTTGTATATAATCATATCATCCATGAATAACCACTGATTTATTTCTTCCTTTCCAGCCTTTATCCTTTCTGCTTCTTTTTCTTCAGTTGTTTTTAATTTGGTTTACTTGACCTGCAAGTGACTGACATAAAAAAAAGAAAAAAAAATATTTTTGGGGGTGGGGGGCAGTCCTGGGGTTTGAACTCAGTACCTTACTCTTGATAGGTAGGCGCTTTACCACTTGAGCTACTCCATCAGCCCTAAAGATATGTTAAAATTTCTTGTGATACTTGAGACTTGCTTAATTTCTCAGGGCATTTCTGTAAATTATTTTTCTTTGTATATTTTGAAATTGTGTTTTTAGATGTATAAGGGTTCCTAATGTTAAATCTTTTTTCCATGGATTTCATTAAGTACTTTTTGTCTCTGTTAAGGTCATATTCCATCTTGATGGAATCTTGTGGATTCCATCTTGTCTGATATTAATATTCCCTCATTTACATAACTTGTTTGGCATTTGCCTGGACTAACATTTTCCATCCCTGTGTGCTCAGTCTTCTTTGCTGTTTTAAGAATGTCTCTTGTAAATAGTATATTGGTTTTTTGAACCCTGCAGTAGAGATCTATGTTTAACCTACTTAGATTTACTGAGATTGATGACATGTTGGACTTCCTTTGACCTTATTTTATGTTTTTCATTGACCAAAGTGTTGTGTGTGCGTGTAATTTACAACATTGACCAAAGTTTTCTTGTTTTAGTTCTCTTTCTAGTGATTTGAGAGTTGCATGTCAGTCTGGTCTGTGTTTACTAATCTCCTATTGTTCTGTGAAACCCTAGCTTGCTGCTCAATCACTAGCCCAAGCAGAACTATGAGAGTGGAAAATCAGCTTACTCAGTCATGTGGGGGTTTCCCTCATGCCAAGCAGTCCTGACTCAGTTCGAGAGACTGCCCCACTTCTGATACCAGTCTCAAGTCCTAGACTGGGACCTGCCACTCTAAATCAGTGCTTGCTAGAGCAGCTTGCTGAACTCAGGAAGCACTTTCCTCACAACTACCCATTTATCGTAAAGAACAGTGCACAGGATACGGAGGAACATCTGGATGGGAGAGATGTTAGGGCAGGCAAGAGTGTTAAGTTTCCCGACCCTCTCCAGGTCCACTACAGTCCAGGAACTTCCCAGTACATACAGCAACCCAGAAACATTCCAGACCCCACAGACTAGGGATTTTTATGGAGGCTTTATCACATTAGTATCATAATCATGAGTATAGGTCAGTCTCCAGCCATTCTGTCCTTCCTGGAAGATGGGGCTAAGACTGAAAGTTCCAAGCTTCTGTTCCTGGCTTGCCATTTCTGGTGACCAGCCCCATCCAAGAGCCCACAAGGGCTGCCTCACAAAAGATGCACTTATCTCCTAGGAAATTTTAGGAACTGGGGTTAAAGGCCAAATACTAGAACAAAAGATGTACCTAGCACTCCTATTGCAGAGGAAATTATAAGGAAGTTATAAGGGTTTTAGGAGTTCTCAGTCAGGAATTGGGGCAGAGATGTGTGTGTGTGTCTGTGTACATATATACATATACATTTATATGTACCACTTCATTGGTAGGCAGGTAAAATTAGTATAGTGTCTTCTTTTCAGTCAGAAGTCAGCCTTTGCCACCCTTTCCTTTGAGGGTGAGTGTCATGTCTATTTGTTTTTATATCCTCTATGACTAGCAGGATACATAGTTAGGCACTGTTAAGGTATTTGTTAAAAAACTCTGTGAAGAGGTGTAATTGAATAAGAAAAGACTTGTGAACAGCAGATTCCAGTAACTTGAATTATGTGTGCAGTGGAGCTCACTTGTGATGTTCTGAGGAAGTGCAGAGAACATTACAGACCTATACTCAGAGAGGTGTTTTCCTAAGTGAGTTAGAAGATCAAAATGCCTGTCAACTGACCAGTGAAGAGCAAGGATCAGCTTCTGAGAGAAGTTGGAAAGCCTGTAATCTAAAGCTCATCATATGAGCAAATATAGGAAAGCCAGAGAAGAACAGGAAAACTCAGACAAGAAGGCCTAGACTCCAGTCCCAGTTCTGCCATCTGTGATCCTGGGTTGATTCCCTCATTCTGAACCTTATATTTTTCACTTGCAAAATGGGGATAATAGTCTTCCTTTGTGACTTAGTTGCTGTCAGTTGCAAATTAGGTGATTGTTAAATGCTACGGGAATGTTAGATGTTATTTTTAGTTCACCGTAACGGCCCAGTTGTTAAGAAAGGCTGGATTGTTAGGCCATTCTAACTAAGAAAACAAAAATGAGTTTTATGTGGTCCTGAAGCTATAAGCGTCAGGTCTCTGGAGAATATATCCATGTGGAACAACACCATCCCTGACAGGGAAGAACCAGTGGTCCTAGCCCTGGACCCAAAGTCACAGGACATGGCTCTGCCACTTATTCTCCTTATGACCTTAAGCAAAACATGGAACTGCTATTTCCTCACCTGAAGAAACTTAATCCTGTTCTGTCTGCTTTGTCATGTGTCCTGGTGAGGCTCAAGAGAGATGGTGAATGCGAGTTGGGTGACACATGGAAAGTGTTGTGTACCGTGTGAGGGATGCCAAGGGGAGTTTCCAGGCATATAGAAAGGAGTGAAATTCCTCCTTTATGTGGAGAGAAACACTCCACATCCATTATGCAGATCTAAAGATTTTCACTTCATTTGTTCTGCACTTTTTTTTTCAAAAATAAAATACGACTGGTACAGTTGAAGTCCTTTTAATATTTTTCTCCTGATTTCATTTTCTTCCCTCTAGAGGTTACTGTTATTATGAACCTGTTATATTTTCATATTTGTCCTGCCCTGTCTACCTATAAGCAATATAAAGTATTGTTTTATGCACATGATATCTTGTAGTACTACTGAGTCATCTGTAGTTTGCTTCTTTTCCTCTGTGTTTGTAAGATTTGTTCATAGTAAATGGTGGGCTTTTTTTTTTTTTTTCCTGCAGTGCTGGGGATAGAACCCAGGGCTTTGCAGATATTAGGCAGATATACTACCACTGAGCTACATCCCCAGCCCAGTTAAATTTTTTTAATTTAACTGTTGTGTGAGTCTCTCTTGTATGAATATACCATGCTTTATTTTTTGGTTCTTTTTATTTATTGATGGACGTTTGGGTTGTTCCCAGTTTGTCTGTGTTCTGTATGTCTGTGGAGAATGAGGTCTTACTATGTTGACCTGGCTGGCTTGGAACTCCCAGGCTCAAGTGATTCTCCTGCCTCAGACTCCTGGTTAGTATTTTGCTTTTATAAATAGTAATGAAGTGAGATAAATATCTGTGTTCCTGTCTTCTGTGTACACAGGTGAGCGTTTCTCTAGGCTGAGAATATGCTTACAATTGCTGGATTGTAGTGTGTGTAAATCTTGAACTTTACTAGAGCAGGAGTTGTTCTCCAAAGCCATTGGGCCAAAGTGAGGGTACTTGTTTCCGTCATTTATGTTTAACATCGTCATGTCTATATTTCCTCCCCACTCTAACCCAGAAATGCAGTCTGATGGCTTGCATTTCTCTCATTTAATAATCAGTAATCACTTAGTAGGTAAGTCAGTAATCTTCTCATGTTTTTGTTGACAATTCATATTTTCTGTCTAATAGACTTTGATTCTTTTGTCTATTGGATCTTTATTTATTTATTTATTTTTGGTGGTACTGGGGTTGGAACTCAGTGCTATACTGCTTGAGCCATACCTCCAGCCTTGAATTGTTTATTTTTCTTACAGATTTTTTATATCATCTATATGTTAATTCCACTCCATGTTGATTATATGCATAACATTTACCTACTTCCAGACTCTAGTTTATCTGTTGACTTTATGTTATCTTTTTGTCAAAAGTTGTAGTTTAGTGTTATTCAGTTCAAATATGTCTATACTCTATTGGGGTTTTAAAAAGTCTTCTGTCTTGATGTTGTAATGATATTCTCTTATGTTTTCTTTTTAAAGCTTTCAAGTTTTCTTTCCACATTTAGGTCTTCGTTCCATTTGGAAATGAAACATAATTCAGTGTGAGGCAAGGATTTTATTTTATGTTTTCACCTGTGGAGAAGTAGCACTGTCTTTTGAACAACCCAGTTCATGTGTGCTGATTTGAACATCCGTTCTGTTCCATTGGTTCCCACACTGCCTCAACAGTCTCAGTCTTGCTGAAATTCCATCTCTGGGGAAGGAAGACTCTACCTTCACCTCATTCCCCTCCTTGTGGTTCTTCAAAATTGTTTGGCTAATTCTTGGGATTTTACTCTTCACATGAGTTTTAGTGCTCTACCACTTCAGCCACACCTATAGCCTTTTTTTGCTTTAGTTATTTTTCAGATAGGGTCTTGTGTTTTTAACTGGGGTCTGGCTTGGACCTTGGTCCTCCTACCTACAGCCTCCCATATAGCTGGGACCACAGGCTTACGCCTCTATGCTTGACTTGTTCGTTGAGATGGGGGTCTTGCTAACTTTTTGCCTAGGTCAGCCTTGAACTAGTGTCTTCCCAATCTCCACCTCCCACATAGCTAGGATTCTAAGTGTGAGTCACTGCACATGGCCTTGAATTTTCTATATAGGTCCTTATCTGCTCTTCAAATAAAGACAGTTTTATTTCCTTTCGAATTGGAGGCTGAATAATATGTACGAAGCTCAGACTTTACTCTTAATCAAATTAGGATCTATTAGAGATGATGAGAGATGTAACACTTAAATATTACCATTTTAGAAAGATAATTTGGGCAGCCTGGTAAAGGTCTCTCATATTGCAGTTGAGAGACCCCGAGAAGCCGACTGGGTAGGAGTAGGAAGGAAAGGCAGTGGTAGTGCAAAAGATGTGTCAGAATTAGAACCACAAGGACCAGAAAATGAGTGAACTTGGGAGCTGAGATTCAGGGAGTGAACCATGATGCCTAGCTGTCTGCTTATCAGACTGTACATATTCATAGGAGGAGCAACAAATTTGGCTACAAAACACTTTGTTTCCAGCAGTTAAACTCACCATTAGGGGCGTTTATTCTCACCCATGTGGTTTTGTAAAATTTCCCTTGTTTACCCTTCTGAAATCCCCACGTAGATAAGTGTCAGCCTGATGCGGTGACCCGGAGATTGGAGAGTGAGCTTGACGTACTAGGTGGTGACATTCTGGAAGAAGTGCCATTTGTTCTGGACCACGACACAAGCTTCAAAGCACAAGCGTTAGCCCCAGCAAAAACAAGAGCAGTGAAAAAGAAACCCATGACTGAGAGTATGCCATTGAGGAAGAAAGATACTCTGGGGCCGGCAAGACTAGAGCGAGTATGAAATCATTCTTTTCTCTTGACCCATTTATAGTAACCTGACATTGTCCAAGGTCATATGCCCTAGTAAGGGGTGGGCAAGCATTTCATCTCACAGATAGAGCTCCTGAGTCCAACAATTTGGCTGGCTTAGCCAAATCAATGTTGGTTTTATATTTTAGCAAAAACCAGCTTTTAATGTTGTTATTAGAGTAGGGTATTCTGTCTCATGCTGGTTCAGTAAGATCCCAACTAATTTGATACTATGGTCCTAATTGGACAGGTTAATTTAAAATTCACAATTTGGAAATGTAAGATTGGAGTTGATTTAAGATTTTGTTCCTACTGAAAGTAAATGTTGATCATAATAACCACTAAATATTAAAAGTACATCTGTTTTTTTCTTTTTTTTTTGTGGTACTGTGGTTTGAGCCATGCTTCCAGCCTTTTTGCTGTGGTTATTTTGGAGATAGGTTCTTGCTTTTTGCCCAGGCTGGCCTGAATCTCAATCCTCTATTTTAAGCTCTCTGCCATCATTCAGATGACAGCTGGGCCACAAGGCCCAGCTTTTTTCTATTGAGTTGGAGTGCTGTCCAAAGACTTGTGTAACAAGCCTATGTATTGTAAGATGGCTCTGAAAAGAGAAGATCTGGTGTTTTTCACCAGTTACTGACAGATAGTTGGTACCCAACAAGTCTCTGTTCCTCCTCACATAAACTTACAATGAGTTGTTGGGAAGTCAGGATTGAACCTATAAGCATCAGCTTGATGCTCTCCTCCTGAGACAGGGTCTCATGATCTGTGACATTATAAGGTTTATTTAAAATAAATTTGTTTAAGATTTAGATTTATTCTATGTGCACAATTTATTCTATGTTTAGAGAGGATAAATATTTTAACCAAAAATATTTTATAGTTTACCTATAAGTAATATGTGATTAAAAAATGGGATTTAATTTGAAAATATATATATAAATAAATTTAAAAATATATGTACATGTGTATATCTGTATACATAAACATGTGTGTATATAGGTATATATGTGTATACATATATGTATATATACATGTATATATAAAGGTGGCAGAGCCAAGGATCCCATCTCTACCTCCTCCCCAGGGTTTCCTCAGTGTAATTTTACACACCTTCCCAATTTCTACCATTGTGCTTTCTGTTTTACTGAATGAATGAATGAATGAATGAATAGCAAAGAGGCATTTGGAGCTTCAGTGAGTCAGAGGTTGAACCCAGAGTGTCTTTGATACTTGTTTGACTTTATAATTCATATTTCCTCTTACAGGGACTCCACAAGGCTGAAAGAAGTAGACCAAGCCAACCTCACAGCAAAAACAGGTTGCAAAAGACAACAGTCTCATCAAGATTAAAAATTAACCAACAGCCTATGAAAGATCATAGGGCTCCTTGGATACCTCCAAATCCCACATCACCACCAGCATCTCCTAAGTGGTATGTAAAAATTCCATAGTAGGAGTTTGAATATGTGATTTTATTTTTTAAATAAAAGTGACAAATACCTTCCAGTAAGAAGAAATGTTGCCGGACACAGTGGTTCACACCTATGTTCTCAGCTACTTGGGAGGCAGAGATCAGGAGGGTCACAGTACAAGGCCAACATGGGCAAAAAGCTAGCGAGACTCCATTCTCAATCAATAAACCAGGCATGGTGTTACATGCCTGTGGTCCCAGCTACAAGGAAGGTATTGGTAGGAGGATAATAGTCCAGGCCAGCCTTGTAAAAACATGAGATCTTACCTGAAAAATAATTAAGGCAAAAAAGGGCTGGAAGCATGGCCCTAATGGTAGAGCATCTGCCTAGCAAATGTGAGGCCTTGAGTTCAAACCCAGTAACCACCAAAAAGGAAGAAGAAATACTTATATGACGAGTTTTGGTCCAAAAGCCCTTTGGTTCCTTTCTCTACCTGACTGTGGTTGGAGAAGCCTCCCATGGGGCACGCTAATACCTTGTGTCCATGCCTCATTGTAGGGAGGATATAGGCTTCCTTTTTTTCTTCCCCTAGCAGATTCTGGTTACTTGAGCCGAGGTACTGTATCTCTTACAGTTTAATGTTCAATGCATGGACATAATGCAGTCACTAAGTCTTTGCTGAATGAATAAACATTTAAAAATAATTCTAAATCTAAATCAAGATAATTATGAACTATAAAACCCTCCAGATCTCACTGATTCTGTCCAAGCTACAGGGGATGTTAGGATAACACTGACATTGTCACCCTTACTCACAATATATAGAGAATGTGGAGCTACCATTTTATGGAGATAGAAGGTGCTGTCCTTGTGGGGAGCAGGGTCCAGTTAGAAAATAGTCTTTTGAGGAATTAAAGATAAAGGGAGCTTATTTGCCATGGTTCATTGGTTCCTGACAACACAGTGGAAAGGATCAGACAGAACAACATAAAGAAGGAAGCAAAAAAAACAGTAACGTGAGGAGAATGAGAGAAGGAGGTGACTGGAGGGATCCACCTTTGGGGAGACGACAGAAGACAGGATGAGAAGTCTGGCTCAAGAGATTCCCCTTACATTTCCAAATGGTTCTGAGTCAGTGGTGTTGCTTACTCATCAGCCCTCATTGTAGAGTGAAAGAAGCAATGCTGCAAGAATTTAATGTCTCTCCTTTAACAGAGTTGGGACTATAATTGGGTCTTCTGATTTCACTGTGTGCTTTTTTTGTTCCTAATATTCTGTTTTGATTTCTATATTTTTATATATGGGTATTAATACAGAGATGTGAGTTCAGTTAATAAGATAAAAAAAAAATCGATGGGTTGAAGTTTTATTGCAAACCAAGTATACAATGGACCATCTTCTAGAGGGTGTATATGACTGGTGGAGGAGTGGGGCAGGTAAAGCTTCTTGGATTACAATGCTGTGTTAGACCTTATAGGAATGTGACATGGAATATTATTAGTGACTCAAATCTATATATTAAATTCAGATTTTGTTGAAGTTCACCCTATATTCTGTAAATGACAGTTGTTTTTTCATTTAAAGTAGTTGACTACTTCTTTGAAAGCTAGGGGATTTCCCCTTTGACACTGAACTTGTGTGCTGGAGGAGCTCCCCTTCACATTTGACTTCCAGGGCAAGGCTGTCTCCATGTTGTAGGTCAGCATTAGTTTAATGTTCTTGTCTTCTGAGTGGGCACCTTTGGATCAGTCATTGGACATGGAGTTGAATGATCACAAAGGTCTACTTTTCCATTTTCCAGTGCTGCATGGCTAAAGGTGAAATCTAGCCCCAGAGATGCCACAAAAGAGCAGTCTCTCCAGAAAGAAGATACGCAAGAGTCAAGTCAGTTGAGAGGTGCTGTCGACCATGAAGCAGCCAGGTTTGTGCTGGTGTTTTTCAAATCTTTGAATATTAAAGGGCTTCTTTTATACAGACTCCGAAGCAAACTGTTTCTTGTCTTTCTTGTGTCTACAGTTGGTCATTTAAAATGTGGATTGCTAAACTTTTCTGTTACACTTTTCAGCTTACAATGAGCCCCACTTTTATTCCTTCTTATTTCATTTATTCAAAAATTATATGCATGTCCGTTGTATACCAGTTGCTCGTTTTGTATACAGCACAGTCGTGAGCTCTATAGAGAGTTTAAAAAAAATAAAAGGGTAGCTAAGACATAATTCCAAATCTTGCTTGCTTAATTACAGTCAGCAGGGCAGATATGTAATTAGCTGTAATTTAAGATAGAACATGGTATATACCCTAAGAACTGATAGAGGTTAGAAGGGGAGAGATTACTTCTTTCTGTAGAGAGCTGGACTCCATAGAGGGGGGTAGAAATTAAAGTACAACTTGCACAGGCGGGATTTAGATATGGGGGGAAGGTGGTGAGAACATTCCTAAAGGAGAATACTATTCACTTGTTCAGCTGAAATTATTCTTGTAATTATAAGAACGTAAAAATGAAAGTGGCTCATTAGGGCTGTTTGTTAGAGCACTTGCCTAGCATGTGTGATGCTCTGGTTTGAGCCCCACCACATTAAAAAAAATAGTTAATTAAATAATTTAATAATATTCACATATCCTAAACCAAAAGAATCAAAGCCTTTTCATATACGAAAATTAGTTTAGAGTTAACTTTTCTCTTTTGTTTTTATTTGACTTCACTCTACCTATGTGGGGGTCCTTTTTTTTGTCTAAACTTGAAGATGCATGGAGGGCTTTGTTTTAATCAAGCAAGAAGTCCTAAGGACAGGGATGGCTAGCTTTCATCCAAACATTTGTAAGTGGCTTCTTGATGTTTCACACATAAATTCAAAGTGCTTTTGTGCATAAATGTCTGCTTGTAGGGACATGCTATATGAACACGGAGAGGTTTCATTACCTGCAGAGTCCTTAATGGAGCCAAATTAGTGCTGAGGTGGGGAGGGTATTCCCTCCTACTCTGTTTCTATAGTAAGGAACCCCTATAGATCAGGTGTGGTTGGCTTGACTCTTTTGTATTATCTGCTAGGTTCGATTGGCTTGATGCTGAATCTTCCAAAAGATTGAAGGAGCTAGAAGAATTAAAAGCCAAAGAAGTGGAAAGAATGCAAAAACAGAGGTAAATATTTGTTTTTGAGGTAGAAAAAAGTGCAGGCCTGTTCTATATCATCTAGCTCTTCTAACAATGAATTGAGATTGTTTAGCTCTAGCCATACTTCTTATGCTTTCTTAAGAGACAATGAAGCCGCCTAAGAAGCTTATAGTGGAGCCAAGATTAGTACCCAAGGGAGTTAGGACTCTCTAACTTTGAGGAGAGTCAAGTGGCTCTTTGTACTGTCCTCTAGGCTTGACTGGCTTGATGCTGAAACTTCTAGAAGAGCAAAGGAACTGAATGAACTGAAAACTGAAGAAATGGATAGACTCCAACAATTAAGGTATGTGTTTGCTTCTGAGGAAAAATAGAGGATGCCTCCCTAATCTAATTGATCTAAATAGTTTTAACAACCAACCTGGACTGTTTAGACCTAGCCTCATTACACAAACAAGTGCATGAATAAATGAATGAGTGAATGAGAACCTACACATGTATGTGAACATTATACCATATTTTTGTTAGGAAATGTTTCCTTTGTGTGGAGTTTTAAGGAGAATTAAATAGCCATCTATAACTTGGGGGGAGTTCTGTCTGAAAGATGAGTCTTGTATTTGCTTACTTGTTTGCACCACTCTCTGGGTACTTTTTTCTAGCTAGATGCTAGTTCTTCTAAGGTAGGGTGTTTAGTGAATGAACATATTGTGCTCACGAGTGAGTGTGTGATACTTTGATCTCACATGTTAGGTGGAATGCAGCCTAAGGTTTTCAGATGAGGTTGCTGTCTCTCTCATCCCTTATGTGTGCCACCACCTAACCATAGGCATGGAGAAGGCGTCAAGATTTCGTGGAGCTGCGACTGCTACATTTGACTCATTTTCCCGTCTCTGATAGTCATTCACTGTGCAGTCAGATGAATAAATCACACACTGAAACAGAAACATCTGCATTGTCATCTTCAGGACAGAGCATCATTCAAGAGCTATCGTTCTGTTATTAGAGGGCTGAAATGTCCATAGTTAAGATTGCAAGTCACACAGTCTCAGAATCTTAGGAGTTGAAGGATCCTTTCTCACGCTGATTCTTTCAGCCCAAGCTGTGTGATCTTCACGAAGCACCTGTCCAACATGTATGTACACACTCTGTGTGATGGGCACACTACTGTCCCAGGGAGTCCATTCCTAGTTTGTCTATAGCTATTGGAAAGTGTCTCCTGAGATTGTGCTGAAATTGGATTCCCTGTGACTCGTACGCACTTGTCCTTAGTGTACCAAAAGCTTAATCCTCTGTCCTTTTATTAAAAAAAAAAAAAATATATATATATATATAGAGAGAGAGAGAGATCATATAGAACATACTAAATGCTCATGTACAATCTAGAATATTACAAAGTGCACACTTGTATACCACCCTCCCAAACCCAGGAATATATGATTGCCACTACTCTAGAAGCTTCCAGAATGTCTCTCCTCAGCTGCATTCCCCTTTGTCCCCAGAAAGCAGCTTCTGTGCTGTTTCCTGGGTAATCTTTTCATTACCCTTGATCATAAATATACTAGTAATGTATGCATTCCTTGCAGTGTACTTGTTTAATTTTGAAATCTGAGAAGCACAAATAGCTGAACAAGGGAAGGGCAGTGTTGCTGGTGTTAGGTTAGGGAAAATAGGTTGCAAGGTCTTACACTTTCCTGAGAGATTTTAGGAGCCTCATTCCAGGAAGTCACTGAGCAAGATCATGAGTGAGCCCTGGCAGGCATAGGGCTTATCACTTCGGAGGGGCTGTAGGTGAGCCAGGGTCACTGGACTTCTGGAAGAAGCCTAGCCAGCATTTGTGGGCTGAGGTGGACCCTAAGCAGCAGACAGCAGGACTTCATGGCATCAGGAATCTAGGCCAGGCTTGTATAGTTTCCCTTATCATGTGGTTCTCTTTCTCAGTTTGCTTGCATCTTTTGGTTTTTGTTTTTGAGACAGGTTCTTGCTATGTAACCCAGGTAGCTTTGAACATACAATCCTACTGCCTTAGCCTTCTGAGTGCTGGGATTATAATTAATGTAGGTCTAATTTGGCTTCTTAAAAAAGGGTGAATGGGATCCAGATGTGGTGGTACATGCCTATAATCCCAGCATTCAAAAGGCAGAGGCAGGAGGATCAATAGTTCAAGGCAAGCCTATGCTACAGAGTAAAACTGTCAAAAACAAAAGAATGAATGGGAAGTGAATCTCCTCAGACCTTTCAAGTTTAAAAATGTCTATTCTACTTTCCTATTTGCTAATGGCATGCATCCAGCATTAGCTTTACTGACTATAGAATTCTTAATTGAAGATTATTTTAGTGGAATTTTTTAATGAAACTTTCTATTATTAGATAGTATACATTCGCATGAAGTTGTAATAACACAGAAAAATCTTTACCAAATTCCCCCAGTGTAATATCTTGGCAAACTATGGTATTACAACCAGGATATTGGCATTGACATAGTCAAGAACATTTCCATCACCACAGAGATCCCTCTTGTTGCCCTTTTATACCACGCCTACTTCTCTCCTGCCCCAATCTGCTGCTTGTTTAATCAACTCTTTGCAGCCACTTATCTATGCTTCCTGTTTATAATTTTGTTATTTCAAGAGTGTTATATATAAGACTGAGGGTATACTGGGGGAAAAAAGAGTGGGTACAATGGCCAATGCCTGTAATCCCAGCTACTCGGGTAGTGAAGATGGGGCGATTGATCAAGGTTCAAGGCCAGTCCAGACAAAAACATAAGCCCCTATCTGATAAGTAACAAAGGCAAAAATGCCTGGAGGCATGGTTCAAGTGGCGGAGTGCCTGTCTACCAAGCACAAGGCCCTGAAACATAGCATGTAGCCTTTTGCAGTTGACCTACACCATTCTCTGGAGATTCTCCAGGTCATTGCATGTATCATTTTGTTCATTCTTTGTGTTCCTGGTGTGGATGTACTGTTTTGTCTAACCACGTGCCTGGTTAAACATCTGAGGGACATCTGGATTATTTCCAATTTGGGGTTGTACAGGTGTTTGTGTGGATGTAAGTTTTCATTTCTTTAGAGTAAATGCCCAGAGTGTGATGGCTGGGTTGTGTGCTAGATGCATGTGTTGGTTTTCTACAAAACCATCAAACTGTTTTCTAGAGTGGCTGTCTTCCAACAGCGGTGTTCACAGAATCCAGTTGTTCTGCATTTTGCCTGTGTTGGCTGGTGTCACTGTTTTGTTTTAGATACTGTGATAGTTGTATAATGGTTAACTTGGTTTTCTCTAATAGCTAATGATGTTTTCCTTAATTAGATGATGTCAGCTGTCTTTTCATGTTTTCATTCACTGTCTTTGCTGGTGCATAGCACAGGGATTTTTGTGGTGTTCAGCAGTTTATTTTCTGGAATTTTTCCATCTTTCTAAGCTGCTCCTTTCTTGGTCCTTTGGCTAGAAAGAGTGAGACTTTACTTCTTCTGTTTTTATTTTTAATCTTACATGTTTCTATCAGCATTCCTGGGCTGCTGGCTTCTCTAGTATTTAGTTTGGGGATATATGAGGTAGAAAGGAGATTCATCCTCTTATCCTTTAGGTCCAGGACTCCCTAGCTGGTCTGCCTTGGCTCCATCCAAATCTTCTGGTGGTTTATATTTAATGTATGGGGTTCTTAGTTGTACTGAACAGTGCAGCTACCTCTCTAGAAGCTGAAGTCCGACCAGAATTTGTAAAGTATTACTTCATTTTCTTGTTTCCAATGAGAAATCTGAATAATTCTCTAGAAACTTATAGACTCTTCCTTTTCTGCAGGGTTCTAAAATTCTATACTGATAGGATGGGGTGTGCTTATATTTTCGTTCACCATGCTTTTCCCTTTCAGTCTGGCAGTTTATTTCCTTCAGCTCTGAGAAATGCTGTTGCTTTATTTTATACTTGTTTTCTTGCCTAGTTTCTCCCTTTTTTCTGTTGTTCCTGTTCTGGTTGGACTTCCCAGAATGGTCCCCTGGTATTCTTACCAGTTTTCCTCTTTCCCTTCCTTCTGTACCCCCTGCACCCTGGACAATTTCCTTAATATTTATTATTTCACCCATCATTTCTGCTACAGAGTTTTTACATTTTATGAACTTTATTATGTTCTCTAATTTTCTTTCTTGGTGGTAGTAGGCATTGAACTTAGGACCTCATACTTGCTAATCCCATGCTGTACTACTTGATCCCCTCCACCGCCCTAAATTCCCTCACTTTTTAGTCTCCTCTACTGTTTTATGGATACATTACTTTCTCTTTCTTTTTGAGCATATTAATAATATTTTTTCCCTACTTTGCCTTACATATATATCTTTATTTTTTCCTTCCTCAGCTAGTAATCCTTGGCTATCTTCTGATATTTAAAATTCAATTAACTTAACAGGTACAATTTAATGAGTTTTGCTTACCTGGGTAACCAAAACCCTAATCAAGATTTAAAAAACAAATGTCTGTTGACCTACAATGTTCCCATGTGTATTTTTGGATTATTCCCGTATCATCCCTCACAGAGGCAGCTACTTTCTGATGTCTTTCCCATGGAGTAGCTTTGCCTGCTCGTGCTTTCGTATAAAATGAATCATCGGTATCTACTCTTTTGCATCTCGTTTATTTTGTTCAACAAGATATTTGAGATTTATCCATGTTGTATCAGTGTAATTCATTTTGTTTTATTTCTGAGTAAGTATTTTTCCATGTAGGAATATACCACATTCTGTTTATCCATTCTTCTGTGACTTAATATTGGGGTTATTTCCCATTTTTAGTATGAATAAAGTTACTATAAACATTTTTACACATTTCTTTTTGTAGAAATATGCTTTCATTTCTCTGGGTAAATACATAGGAGTGGAATTTCTTGTCATAGGGTAGGCAGCTGTTTTACGTTATAAAACCAGGCATAATTGTGACATTTTATATTTCTGTTGGCATTGTGTGGGAGTTCCTTTATATTTGTTGTTCATCCTTACTTACATTTGGAATTGTCAGTCTTTAATTTTAGCCATTCTTGTGAGAATGTGGTGGTATGTCCTTGAGGTTTGGTTTATATTTTCTTTTTTGGTGGCACTGGGGTTTGAGCTCAGGGCTTTGCACTTGCAAAGCAGGCACTCTATCTCTTAAGCTGTACCTCCAATCCTGGTTTGTATTTTCTTGATGATTAATGATGAGCACCTTTTCTAGTGATTATTGTAAAATGTCTAAATCTTTTTGCTCATTTTTTATGCTTTACATTTTTAATTACTAATTCAAGATCTTTGTGTTTTCTTGGGTATAAGCTCCTTGCCAGATATCTCTCAATGGTGTGCCTATTTATCTTCTTAATGGTGTCTTTTAATAGCTAGAAGTTTTAAATTCTGACTTAAAGCCAGTTTATCAAATTTTCTTTTACAGTTATCTTTGTGAACTATCTAAGAAATCATTGAAGTTAAAATCTCAGAGATACTCTCCTGTGCTTTTTTCTAAGTGCTTTAATAGTTTTAACTTTTTATATCTAAGATCCATTTTGAATTAATTTTCATGTCTGAGATGAGCTACTGATTGCAGTTCATTTTTTTCTGGATGCATAGCTGTCCAATGAAAGGATTGTTGAACTTGAGTTTTCCTCCAGGACCGTCTGCCTGCTGTTTGTGGAGGACCCTCATGCTAGTCTTCCAGTCTTTTCCTCTGGGGCAGATCCGGCTACCCTGAGGGTTAGCTGAGTTGGGGAGGGTGTGAGTCTTTCTGCTCGCCTTTAGCATGTGCACATGCCCTCTCTTTCCAGTACAGCACCTGCAGTCTCAGCTGTGATTGGTTACCTCTATCCAGAGACCCTTCAGAGAATCAAACTTCTGTTAGAGTTGGAGGAAGGTGGTCCAATTCTGTGAAGTAGACAAGGGACCTAGGGATCTAACTTCTCATATACTATTTGACTCACTTCTTCCATGTTTACGTCACTTCCTCCCACATTTCTTAGCTCAGACATGCCTGGAACTACCAGCTGTGTGCCTGTGTGGGTCAGCAGTGTAAATTATAGGGGCCCTCACTTTTCCCTAGTACTGGTCTAGAATTCAGCTTTCTCAGATCAGCTGAGCTGGCCATCACTTTTGTCCTTTGTCTTCAGCATCTTTTTTTCTTCCTTGTCTTTATGGGTTTATAACTATAGTTTTAGTGGCTTTTTGAAAGGGAACAAATTAGTTTCTTGTGTTTAGTCTGCTATCCTCTTTAGTTGTTTAGAGGCAGCCATGTTTCTTTGAAGTGTCCTCAGAGTTTAACACACTTCTTCAGATGTTGTTTTGGCCCTCTTACAAAGGATTGGGCCCTGGACAAGCAGCCTCACCTGGGAGCTAGCTTGTTCAAAGTACAGAATCTTGGCTTCACTCAGAACAACTGAATCAGAATCTGCATTTTAAGCTCCCAGGGAATTTGTATAGCAGTGCAGCTGAGAAGCTATGGCTTTTTTTTTTTTTTTTCTTTTTTTGGCGGTGCTGGGGTTTGAACTTAGGGATTCATGCTTACTAGGCAGGCACTCTAGCACTTGAGCTACTCTACTAGCCCCTAGCACTGGTTTTTATTTTGTCATTTGCTTTCCCTTTAATCAGCATGGTTAGATAAATATGCAAAGTAGGGCACGTTCTTGCTTCTGACTTGAATTTTCATTTTTATTTCTAAACAGTGTTTCTGCCAGCCAGTTAGCAGACAAGGTAGAGGAGGCAGTTCTGGAGCGTCTGAAGCCCCTCTTGGTCAGGGCCCAGGTAACCCAGTTCCTCTCATTTGCTTGCCTTTGGAAGCTCTGGAGTAAATAGAACTACAACAAGAGGCCACACTGACTCTTTTAAGAGCCAAGTGTCTGTCTGGCAGGTGGAGACTGCAGTGCTTAGCTTAGCAGTCTGCAGTGCAGGACATGGGCTGAGTTCTGCTGCAACCCCTCTGCTACCCCCAGACCACCAAACACTATTGACATGTTCTCTGCCATGGGAAGGAATACAGATAAGGGTAAGACAGGAAAGTCTTCTTTTGAAAAAGATGAAATTTTAACTTGGGGCATGAGTTTAGATCACAGTTTCCATCCCTGACCAGTATATTGGCGATGTAAGTGTTCAATTAACTTCTCCCACTCTAATGTCCTCTCTCACCTCAGGGGCTTGAGAGATTTGGGCACTTCTGTGCACAAACCAGTGCTTTCTCAAAGACAAAATGACTTATAGTATCCCAAGAGAGTGTGTCATCCACTTATAAGCAGTGAGCTGAGTTCTACTGTGAAACCCTGCAGATCCGCCCTGGAAATTGAAGCCGTCATGTTTGCATGAGTAATAGATGGGGCCACAAAAGAGTGTTATGATATCAAATGGAGTGAATGATATTCTAGATCCTTGCACTGATCTGTATTTATAGGTTAGGAAGTGTTAAAGTATTGCTAGAGCCCATGGAAGTCTCAGGCGTATGGAATTAGGAGAGCTCCTAGAGATTGAACAGTACAGCTCCCTTGTTTTATGATTGAGGAAACTGTGAAACAGAGAAAGTAAATGACAGGCATAAAAGCACATAGCTACTTTGGCAGTGTTTACAGAGTTGAGGGAGGAAAAAGCATAGAGAGCCAAGAACAGCACATGGCATTTATTTTCATAAGACAAGTGCTTTAATTGCTGCAAAAAGCCTAATGCAGGTAGAGCTGACAAATAGTTCCACACAGAAGTTATTCTGGTAACATGGTTCATTTGTACTAATGTGAGTTGTAAGTTTTTATAATCCATGCATGCATTTGTTCATTTTAATAGAGAGTTAATTCTTCTGCGGAAGGAACTACTCTTTTGAAGGATCATCTATCATGGAGCACAGTGGCAGCCCAGCCTGCAGAGCAGGTGTGTGTGGTTGGTATTCTGGTATTATTACATGGTAATGTTTCCAGTCAGAGGAAAATGATATGCAGATTACTTTGCAACAACTACATTATCCTACTCAAGGAGGGTGAAAATTATTTTTCATATCTGGCATGTTAATTCTTACAGTGTATATTTAGCACTATGACTTAGTTAGCCTTGCAAACAGCATTCAGACATCTCTAGAGTTACAGGTTTTTGTCAGTGGCTCTTTGATCTCTCCTCCTGATGACAGACTGAGGGTGCACTGTGTCCCTGAATGTTGATGGCCTGCAGCAGAAGAATGGCTGCCCTAGTTTCCGCTCATTACTGGCCTAATTTCCTTTATTCTTCGGGCCTGATGTTTTTGTTAAGCATGCATTGTTTTGAGTGCCTGGTATGTGACCAGTGTCTGACCTAGAAGAGAAAAAAAAGAGTCTGGGAAAGGTTTGAAAAAAATAAAAGCATGTGGTGTTGTCTGTATGCTCTTCCTCTGGAGGACTTGGTTTTAATGTCTGGGAGATGCTCCTACCTTGCCTAGGCTTCAGGCTTTGGAGTGGAAGCAAGTTGCATCCATTTACTCTTGTGGAGGTTGGAAAGATGTTTATCGTATTAGTTGCTCAAAGCAAGTAAAGGGCAGTGCTAATGTTAAAGGCTTCAGAGTTGGGAAGAAGTTGGAATGGAACTCTACCAGCACAGTAGATTTTGAGAGTGTATTCCTATTCTAATTATCAAGTCATATTTTAACTGTAGCATATTTTCATAATCTTTGTGATTGTAATTCTCTTGTGCCAATATTTTGTGACAGAATCTCATATGAGATGAGCCTTATAAGACTGGAAGCCTCCATTGGTCATTACAGATTCAGGTGTGCAGTGGGATGTATTGTGCAGTGGAGCCATCAAATGTTTTCTTTTTCCATTCTAAAATAATAAGCTAACATCTAACCTAGAAAGGTAACCCCATATTGCATTTTAATATGGAAGGAAAACAAAGTAATTATAAAATAGATATAGCTGACTGTCACAGTAAAATAGATGTCTGAATATTACAAGGAGAGACTAACCTTGTATATAAGAATTATTTCGTAGGCATTATATCATCTTTAATACAATTAATTGAAAGAGAAAAGTTACCTGTCTAGTACTTAGAATTCTGGGCTGTTGGAAACATCAACATCATGGCAAGGAGTTTCCCAGGCAGTACCATCAATAGTCAGTGTTTACAAATAACTGAACAGGCACTGGGGGTGTGGTTCAAGTGGTAGCACGAGGCCCTGAGTTCAATCCCCAGTACCACATAAATACATTCATACACATGTACATGCATATATACACAAAAAAAGCCTGAACAAAAATAAACACAAACTAGCTCATGGAGATTACAATGAAATAGACATTTTATTTTTTACCATGTTAACTTATGAAAGAGCTGTGGGACCTCCTTGGACACAAATTCTCAGAATTATCCTCTCTAAAATGGAGAAGACATTTGATACATTTTATTTGCTCTTAACAAGTAAAATTTAGCTCTCAATAGATTTCCTCTAAATAAGACAATCTCTGATATCAGGAAAAAAGCTCTTGTAACAACATATTTGCTGTTTCTGCTGCTATTTTCATATAAAATATATTTTCCCAAAATATATGAATTTTTTAAAGAATTATATACACCTGGTCAAAAATTCAAACAGTTCCGAAAGTTATAAATAAGACTGAATGTCTTATTTTGTGCCAAGCACTGTGCTAGGTGTCCCACCACAAGCTTTCATGCAATCCTTCCAACTCTGAAATATAAGATTATTATTTTTGTAGTACAGATGAGAAGATTGGGTAAACATGCCCAAAGTTGCAGGCTTCTGAGTGGGCAGAAATAGGCCTTAATCCCAGGAATGTCTCAGTGTTTACCCAGCAGACATTCTTTGCTAAAGCCTCCTTCAGAGCAGATTATAGACATGCATTAGAATCAAGAAAAATACAATGCATTAGAACTGCTTTGTGCTTTGCAGACTGTAAGGTGCTTTGTAAATGTCAGGGATAGGCGGCCAAGAAAGGCTAGGAAAGCTGTCCCAGCTTATAATTAGAGTCTCAAAGACAAAGAATCCTAAACTTTGTGATGTCATGGGGGTTTTACAGATTATTGACCCAAATGAGACAAGATATATTCTCTAGAGTGTATGCCGTTTGAAGTATGGTACATTTTTTTGACTATGGTAAAAAGAAGATACAGATCTATTAACTAGCAAAGCAGATGAAATGATCATTTAAATGGATGATGATGGTGTTACTTAGTTAATGCCATCATTTAACTGACTGTGACAAAACTTTTACTGGTGTTAGTGCTTTTGATATTTACTGATTTAGAAGAGGATTTAGTGTGGAAACTCCACCAGTTGGATCACTATGCTCTTGGTTTGTTATCATGAGCAATATTACTTAATATTCTGTTTTCTTTGTCACTTTTTCCCCCCTCCCCCCTTGTTTTGTAGGCTACAGATGCTAATTCCAAATCCAACAATATTCGTCAGCTGGATGACTTTTTGGAAGATACTGCTCATGAGCTCTGGGATATGACTCATGCTAAGATTTTGGGGTCAGAAACCTTAGCTACCTTGGGGGACAGCAAGGATAGTCCAAACCTGGAGACCATGATGCGCCAAATGGAGGAAATGGAAGTAAGGTCTGGGGCCTCTGGTCTGGTTTGCTACTGGGGCTCCACCTCTGTTCCTCCTGTGCCTCCCACACTTGATACTTTAGAGTCACACAGTCTTCTGCCAACTAAATGTGTGACCTTGGTATAGTCACTTCCCCTGTTTTATGAGAAGGGCATTTAGGTATAGAATGAAGTAAAATATTCTGACACATGACCCAGGAAGTGATCATCTTTATTATCCCCTGATATTACTGCTTCGTGACTCCAAAACTACTGGAGCCGGGACCTGGTCCCACAATTGGGACCGTAGACTTCTTTCATCCATCAACTTGTAAGTGCAGTTCAGCTGCCTCTTCTACCCTGCTAGAGCGTGATTCTGCGAAGTCCCAGGTTTACCTTCTTTAAATTCCATAATACTGTCTTTAGAATACTTTTCTCCTAAGAGTTTAGACTTTAGACATCACATCTCAACCCCTGGATTATCCACAGCAGGAAATTGAGATCCAGTATGGGAGTAAGTGATATAGCCAAGGTCCCCTAAAAATTACTGGGCAAGCTAGGATGAGAATCCAGGACTCCTGACACCAAAGTTGTATTTTTTTTTTTCTAAACTGCATCATGATTAAATCTCATTTCTTCTTTGTTGCTAAATAGAAATATTAGAGGAAAGTCAACTTTGTTTGTTGGTTTTGAAAATTTAAAGAAATTTAAAATTTAAATTTATCCTAGTCTTATAACTAATTTCCCTTTCTTGGGAAGAACTATCCAGACCTAAGCTGTGCCACACAGCAGCACACTCATATTACAGCATATTGAAATGTAAATCGATATAGAGTTAAAGCTCACCACATGCGGTCCACAGTTAGTGGCTGCTGTATTGGACAGGGCACATGAAGACCATTTCTTTTTGTCCCAGCAAGTTCTTGTGGACAAAGCTGGTTGAGAATGCAGTCCTGCTAATTGCAGTGTTTTGTTTTATACTTCACCTCATGAACTAATCACTTCCTGGCCTGGCAGATGTCCATTTCTGGCAATGTGTCTGTATTAATTGTATCTGCTGAACTTTCCCCACCTTTACTAGTTCTGGTTATAATGAAACATTATTTTTCTCATAAATTAAACTTTCTTTTTTAAAGAAATACCAGGAGACAGTTCGCCAAAGATATAATAAAATTGTATATGCTGATCCTCATTTATGGATGCAGGAAGAAGGAAATGGTAGGTGTTTCCCCCACTTTTCCCCAGCATTTCATTCCAAAAGATTTTAAACATAACAAAAAGTTGAGAAAAATTGTACAGTGAATACTGATATTCCCACCTTCTAGATTGTACAATTAACATTTTGCTATATTTGCTCTATCACATCTCTTTATCCCTTTCTCCATCAGTTCATCTCATCTTTGCATTTCAAAATAAGTCATAATCTGTATATTTCAAAGTAAGTTACCAGATATCAGTTTACTTTACCCCTAAATATGCAGTATGCATGTCATCAGCTAGAGTTTCATGTTTATTTATGGTTCTTTTGATATAAAATTTATGTATAATAAACCACACAGATCTTTACTGTGGCATTTGAGGGGTTTTGACACATATGGATCCATGTTCTTTGTGCCCTTCCCAGTCAGTTCTTTACCACAAGCAACCACTGGGCTTTTAAATTAGTGTCAGCTGTTCACTTAGCATGAACTCTTTCCTAGATTCTTTTTTCTTAGCAGAGTGTTTTATAAATTTGTCTGTGTTGCTTATTTCCCAGTGCTGCTGTAACAGATTTAAGTTCATAACAAGTTTAATCTACAAACTAGTGATTTATGATTCTGGAGGTTAGAAGTCTGAAGTGAGTCTTGCAGGGCTGGTTCCTCCGAGGCTCCGGGGGGAATCTGCTTCTTCAGTTTCTACCAGTTTCTAAGACTTCTGGCCTTATTACTCCAATTTCTGCTTCTATTGCCTTTCTTCCTCTGTTGCCAGGTCTTCCTCTGTTTGCCTGTTATAAGGACACATACCATGTAGGGCTTCTTGATAATCCAGAATATCTCCCCATCTCAAGATCTGTAAGTTAAAGTCTCTTTTCCCACAGAGGTAACATTCACAGCGTCCAAGGGTGGGAAGTAGGCATTTGGGAGCTATCATTTATCCTGTCACCCTTGTGTCAGTTGTCCATGGTATGCACACATCACATCTGGTTTACCCATTTGCCTGGGATATTTGTATTTGCTTTGGAGCTATCAGGACTCAATCTGCTGTGAATATGTGCATAGATAGTCTTTTGTGCACCATCAGTTTTTATTTCTTTTGGATAAATACCTAAGAGTAGACTTGCTAGGTCATACAATAGGTGGATTTAACTTCATAAAAAGCTACTAGAGCTTGTGCCAAAGACAGTGTACCATTTTACACTCCTACCAGCACTCCCACCTCTGTTGAGCTCCATTTGCTCAATGTCTTTGTCGTCACTTGCTGGTGTCAGTCTTAATTGTAACCATCTGGTACTGTCATTTCTTTACTTAATATCTTTTTCATGATGAGTAGTGGTATCTAGAGCCTTTTCAAGTTGATTATTAGCTATTTGTATATCATCCTTTATGAAGCATCCAAAATCTTTTTGTACATTTTTTTTTAACTAGAATGACTTTTTGTTTTTGAATTGCATGAATTCCTTGTGTTCTACGTATAAATTCTTGCCAGATACATGGTTTTGGTGTTTTGTTTATGTTCTTTCTTTTGGTTTTGGTGGTGCTGAGGATTGAACCCAGAGCTTTACACATGCTAAGAGACACTCTACCAATGAGCTACATCCTTAATCCTCTTTAGTTTTTAAAGTAACAGCTCTAAAGATTTAATTCACAAACCATGAAATGCCCCCTATGCTAGGCATGTGCTGTACCACTGAGCTGCATGTTCGTTTTTTTACCCTTTTTAAAATGTACAGTTCATTAGTTTTAGTATAATCACATAGTTTTGCAACCATTACTACTTTCTTCTTCTTCTTCCTTTTTTTTTTTTCATTACTGGGGTTTAAACTCAGGGCTCATGCTTGTTAAGCAGGCATTCTCACTTGAGCCACACCTCCAGCCTTTTGGCTTTGGGTTATTTCTTAGGGTCTCACTGTTACTTTCTGCCCCAGCCCAGGCCATGATCCCCTATCTACGGCCTTCCGTGTAGCTGGATCACAGACATACACCACCATGCCTGGCTTATTTTGTTGAGATCCTCCCAATCTTTGCCTTCTGAGTAGCTGGGATTGCAGGCATGAGCCACAATTCCTGGCTCCATCACTACTTTCTTAATTCTAGAGTATTTTAATCACCCCAAAAGAAATCTTATATCCATTAACTGTCACTTCTCATTCTCCGTTGCCCTCATCTGGCAGACACTAATCTAACTTAGATATTTTTTCCCAATTTGTGACTTACCTACTTATTTTCTCAAAGATATTAAAATACCAATTTTTTTTCTTTTATGGTTTTTGCTATCAGTGGTGTGAGAAACCTTTGCCTACCCCCAAGGTAATACTGTTGTTTTCATCTAGAAGCCATATGACATATCTTAGATAAAACTTTGCCAGGGGCTTGAAGAAGAAGCTGAGACTCTTTTTGTCCCTAATGGGTAGCTGCTTGTTCCAGCACCATTTATTAGAAAGAACTTTGCTTTTCTCTGCCACTTTTCACACACACGTTTTGGCTGCAGTTGCTGGACTCCTGTCATAGTTTGGGCTGGGCAAGTGTTAATCAACTTTTATTTGACTCTTGCTTATCAGTTGCAGCTTTACTCAGTGAAAGGAAGAGGTAAGACATGGTGAGGCATTCCCTCTAAAAGAATTTGAGTACTCTGTGTACTATACTTCTAAGATATGCCAAGGAAATGGAGACAGAGAAGGTTTGCAACAGTATATGTCACACATAATTATTTTAAAATGCAAGTTTGGAGTGACTAGAAAAGATAATCTCCATGTCAATTTTGACAGAAAGTTGAACCATCTAAACAAAATAGTAGCATGTTCTTTTTATTTTCCTGTAATTTTGAAGTCTGTTTTGTTCACGTTGTTCTATTCTCTTCTAACACAACTGCAGCCCCCATTCATAGCCTAACAACAGCTGACGTCTCTTCAAGATCCAGCTCATGTGATCCTTCGTGGGCAGGGTTTTTCCTTCTACAGGTTGAGCATCCCTAAGCCAAAAGTCTGAAGTCCAAAATGCTTTCACAGTTGTAAAGTTTTGGATTTTCAGATTAAGTAAAGGTTATGCAAATATCCCCAAATTGTAAAGCCTTCCAGTCCCAAGCACTTAGGACGAGGGATCCTCATCCTGTTTCTGTGTTAGAACTTTGCCCCCTCCCTTCATTTCTCACCCACGAATGCCCATAGCCCTTTGTAGCACATTGCAGCTCTTCGTGAGGTGTCTTATCTGTCCCACTAAGCCATGCACTCTTTGAGGCCAGACAGTTTGTCACAGTCAGTCATGTTCTCCCACTGTGCCTACCACAGGGCTGGCATAGCAGGGCCCTTCTGATGATTGTTAATCAGTCAGTGAGCATTGTATGTGGTGGAAACAGGAAAAAGAACAGGGAAGGGCAGTTGGTTTCGCTGATGGATTGGCCACCAGCCACAGAGTTAGGTTGCATCATGTGGAAGATAGTCTTAGGGAGGACTTAACGTTCTTTTCTCAAGGATGATTTAAATGATTTGTCACTATCTAAGACTGCATGGACTAGGTGTATATTTAAAAGCAGCTCTTTAGAATACTAAGAGCTGAAGTGAATTTTGGTCACTTAAGAGAATCATAAGCCACAGTAAGAACCCCTTGTCCAGTCTCAGTCACATCACAAAGCTAAATGTGTAATGTCTAATCCATATCTCCTCTCCTCCCTGTGAACGATTGAAAATTGATTGTACTCAGTAATATTTTTATACCAGCTGACTTGGGTGGTCTTGAGAATGTGAGTCACAGAAAGTTGCTTGATGTATAAATGCTCCCCACCTAAGAGGTCAGATTTTCTCCCTGCAGTTGAGATGCACTTAAAATTAGAAAGAATCTGAAACTCAGAAGATCTGTCAAGCCTGCAAGTTGTATTTATAAATTAATGTTTTGACTATCAGCGTGAGATTTTTTTCTAGCAATGCACAGAAACAAATCAGCTAATTAAGTGTTCAGATATGAGTGCTTTTTTAAAAAGATATTTAAAGGTTAGAAAAGCAAATTTCAGTGCTTCTGACCCCTGCCATGGGTGGCTGGGTCCTGATGGAATCTCTAGGCCTGGGGTCTTGCGTAGACCTGGGCAAGAAGTCGTCCTTGAAGCTGGTAGAGGCTTTGAAAGGAGTTCATAATTTCTTAAACCTGGGCTCTTCATTGCCTTGTTTCTTTGTAACTTTTAAATTCACTTTTGCCTTTAGAGTAATTTTTTCATGTGTACTAGCTCTGCCCTTAATGGCTTAAGAAATATGCATGTGACTTCCTCACAGGTTTTGGCCACTAGGACAGCTTTAAAAGGACATCAACTTTTCTTTACATGCAGTCATTTTATGCTTGTCCTTTTCTAGATCAGAAAGCCCCAGCAGTAGGTGAAAGCCCTCTGTCTCCTCTTCCGATCAGGATCACAAAGACAGTGGCTCACAGGGACCCAGCTGTGCACATCATGTTAGAAAGGCCCTGCAATGGCAATGACAAGTAAGTAGCAGGGCAACAACAGACTGCTTTCATGTGAGTTGGTTGCCTTTGACCTAGTTAACATCTGGATTCCTCAAGCTTCCACAAGGTAACAGTTCTTTGAGCAGGATCTTACAAACCATGAGGTGTCTGAGTGACAGGCCATGATCATAACGTGGGCACCGAGTGTGCTGCATTACTAGGAGTCCTGCAAGCGCTCGCCAGCACTCCTCTGGCTTTCCATGTCGAGAGCATTATTTTGGAACATGTAAGTTGCTGGTACTTATTGCAAGATTTGTTTCAGAGTTATTTTGTCTAAGGCACAATAGTGCCTATAGTGAAAAGGGAAGCAGTGAGTGGTGGTAGGATTTGGAGTTTCAGTGTGAGGCATAGAAATGAAGGGGCGCCTTTGGTATTTGAACCATCAGGATAAATGAACAGTTTTCCCTTGCTTACTGATGATTTTGAATGCCAACCATCAGGATAAATGAACAGTTTTCCCTTGCTTACTGATGATTTTGAATGCCTTCATCCTCTTTATGTGTTCTAGTTCCCTAGATGAAAGTGTGGGAACAGAGGAGAGATCAGAGAACAGAGAGGCCCCCTTTCCCTCCCTTGCAGAAGATTTGCGACAGAGAAAAGGCCACACTCCCCTCTTCGTCCCACCTGGAATGCAGCACAGCATTGACGACTACTGTAACCGCTTCGAGCAGTTCCTCCGGACTATATCTCATGAGGCCATAGGCTTCTTCAACCCGTGGCTGATAGCTGAAAGGTCAGTAAAACATATGTGCCTCTGCTTAGGAACCAAGGGCCAAATTTCAGATTTATGGAAAAGCTGGAGGAGAGGACTTGCTTTGCAACCCTAGAGTTCCAGTGACTGCTCTCTGCTAACTGCTGTTCTTCAGATGCAGGAGACTATAAAACACTGTGGGTTTTACCACATAACAGAGTGCTCTGCAGCCTCTTCTTGGACAAAATGTCTAGGCAGCTCAGACCACCAGAAAATGTGTGGCCTGGGATTTAGGCAGCAAGAATTTATTTCTCACAGCTCTGGGAGTCTAAGACTCAGGTGTCTGGCAAGTGTCCCTTCCTGGTTCCTTCTTGCTGTGCTCTCTTGTGACAGAGGCTCTCATCTCGCTCCTGTAAGGGCACTAATCCCATGGTGAGGACTCCATTCTTATGACCTCATCTAAACTTAATTACCTTTCAAAGGACCATCCATCATATTGGTAGTTAGGGCTTCAACTCAAAAATTCACATCTCAGCAATAGAGCTACAATATTCAAGAGTCAAGTCGGGATTGATTTCCTATTGCCATTAGTGAGGGTGATGTCCTGTCAGAAAATACAAAATGTTGCTGGGTAGGAAACAGTCATGATTATGAAATCTTCACAGAGGGCCCAAATTTAGGTCCTTCATGGTGTCACTTTATTGCAAACATGCAAGTGGTATCCTCTGATTACATTTCTTTCTTTTTTTGGTGGTTTTGGGGATTAAACTTAGGGCTTTGTACTTCTTGCTAATAAGCAAGTGCTCTACCACTCAAGCAATGCCCTCCAGCCCTGGATTTCTTTCTTAAGCAAGTTTTAAGCATGTTCTAGGAGTAAGTAATCACTTCTTTTTCATTTTCCTCTTTTATATATTTTCTATTCGCATGAGCCAGTAATCTCTCATAGTTTTCCTGATGAACAAAAATCTCAGTTAATTTCAGTCTCTAAACCTCAGTTTCTCTGGAGACCACCTCCCTTCTACATAGCTCAGGCTGGGCTGCTTTCCTGCTCTTCATCACCACCCTGAGTATTAGGCTTCCTCCAAGTGTATACCTGATTGATGATCTGGCTGGGTTTGTTAAAGTTACTGTTTTTCCCAAAGAATATACCTTCTATCTTTTGTGAGGGTGGAAAGGGATTGTCACGTCACTGCCAGGAGTAGGAGTGGAGAGCTGTCAGTGTAACTGCTGATAGAACTGCAGATTTTCTTGTTCTGCAAGAATAAGAAAATGTGCTTTTGTTCTGCAAGTTTTTCAACCAGTTTTCTGCCCCATACCTTATTCCATCCTCTTGATTCTCAATATTCTTATTTCCTGAGCCTTTCTGATGTTTGTGGGACAAATCAGCTTGCTTTTCCTTGGCATTCCCCCATAGACTCTTGGGTTTCAGCTTCCAAGTACTGCTAAGTCAGTCATGATTCTTCTTGTGCATTTTACCTTCTGAAAATTTTGGAGACTTACCTATTTTTTTCCTTTCTTTTATTTATGTATTCATTTATCTATTCTTTTTCTTTTAGTGGGATTTTGGGCAGGATCAGAGACAATCACTCGTGTTCAAGCTCTCAGGTTAGCCTGAAGCCCTGAGTCTTAACTTTAATGAAAAGTACCCTTTCAAGCCTATTAGAACCTTTGTTAAGGGTAAAATGTATGCTCATCTTCACGTGTGCTCTGAAGGATTTTCTTGGGGAAGAGAAGAAGTAAACTTGACTTGCTTCCATGTGTTAACACATAGTCCTATAGTGTACTTACCATTTCCCGTAACCTACATAGATCAGCTAGGCTAACTGGCCTATTGGGAAATTCAAAAGCAAGCCAAAAAGATGGACTTGACTGTTCCTTCCGTGTTCTTACCACCTGATAAATTTTGTTTGTGGTTGTTTTGTAGGTATAGGGAACAGTTCTCCCAGTCTATAAGGAATGCTAAGTTAAAATGTAGAAGATAGAGTTATTAAAATATGTATGAATTCTTACAGATCTTTTCCTCTGCTATCCTTTGACCCTGAGTGACAGTGAATCTGAATATTCTGACTTTGTTTTTGTTTGTTTGTTTATCTTATGTTTTTGCATTTTATTTGAATCTCCAAAGATGAGCATTGTGTTGATCGGATCTTGGAAAAGTATCCAAAGACAATTAGCTTCATCCCATAATCTCCTGGGTAAGGGGGGGGCTGGCCAAGCTTTTTTATTTTTTTTCTCTGTCTTTCTTCCAGTGAAGAAATACACTGTTGCAGTGATTAGAGTGAGTAGATAATATAGATTGGAAGCAAATAAAAGATTGGTCTGGTTGAGATTGCTTTTGATAAACCCAGACTCTTAAGGATTTCTGGTTGAAAAGGGTAGATTGAACATAAATATTTATTTCTACTCCTGTATCCCTCTCCTAGTATATGTCATTAAAGAAAATAAACAACTAGGTGCCCATGGCTCACACCTGTAATCCTAGCTACTTAGGAGGCAGAGATCAGGAGGATCGTGGTTTGAAGCCAGGCAAATAGTTCTCGAGACCCTATCTTGAAAAAACCCATCACAAAAAAGGGCTGGTGGAGTGGTTCAAGGTGTAGCCCCTGAGTTCAAGCCCCAGTACAACAACAAAAAAAAAAAAAGGAAAAGAAACAAAAAGGCATGAAACCATAGTTGAGAGCAAAAAAGAATATCAGTGTGAACTTTGAAGTTATAAAGCAACTAGCCAATGGCAAATGATTTATCAGACCAGAAAAAGCAAAGTGCCTGGTGAGGTGAACCCAGAACATAGGTGTGTCTGTGCAGAAGAGTGGTGAGAAGCACCAGATAATTCTGCAGGCCTGGACACCGGAGAGCCAGAAGATAGGAGCATGCTTGGATTCTTATTTGTGAAAATGAGCAGACAGCCATGATGACCTGATGTTTGATCAAAGCCATGAAAGATGCAGAGGCTATTATAATGGATAAAGAGAACTCTGCAGAAGCAGAGGCAATATAGCAAGCAGAATAAAACATTTAAATAACCAAACTAAAATTAATATTCTGAAATAATTAAGAGGAGCTATTATGTCATTAAACAAGAGCAGGACACTATAAAAAGGAACTTTCAGAGAATAAAAAAAAGTTCTTAGAAATTAAAAACAGGCATGGTGGCACATGTCTATAATCCCAGCTGCTCAGGGGGCAGAGGTAGGAGGGTTATGAGTTTGAGGCCAGCCCAGGCAAAATTAGCAAGACTTCTACTTCAAAAACGAAATACCAAAAATAAGGGGTAGGGGTGTGGTTCAGGTAGAATGCTTGTCTAGCAAGCTCCAGGCTCTGGGTTCAACCCCCATTACCACAAAATAAATAAATACCAAGATGGCTGAAATACATTCACTAGAAGGATTCAAAGGAAAGTGTCACAGCCCTCAGGTAACAGGATTTTAAAACATCCAAGATCTGGGTTACAAAAGATTTTTTTTTTTTTAATTAGATGATTGTTCTAAGAGACTGAACATCTGAATAATAGGAGTGCCAGAATTTGCGAAAAGGAGAATTGGGAAATTACCAAGGAAATACTATAAGAAAATTTCCCAGAAGGATGTAATCTTTAGGTCAAAGGGTTCATCAGTTGTTTACTATGTGGGAGTGGATTGATGGATTGGTGGATGAATGAGAGTACACCATGGCACATCCTTATGAAGAGGAAATTTGAACATCTCAGTGTAAGGAGATGCCAAAGATTCCACAGAGGTAAAACTGAACATCTTCACTTAATCAGAAATGAGAATGACCTACTGTTTTCAGTAGCAACACTGGAAGCTAGAAGATATTAGAAGACTCTTCCAAATTTAACCTAGATTTCTTTGCTCAGCTAAAAGATTAATGAAAGGGTAGAGTAAAGATGTTCTTAGGCATGCAGTGTCCAAAGCTACAGTCCCCATGCTGTTTGTCTGTCAGCTGTTGGAGGACAGGTACCACCAGGGCAAGATGGGCATTCAGAAAGAGGAAAGTTTAGAAAACTTAGACTCAATACAGAACTTCCAGAAAAATGGCATAAGCAATTTCCTGGGTAAGAATTTTTCAACAAGCACCGAAACCATCTAGTACAGACTGGAGTAGGAGGGACTGAGGGCTCTAGGAGGGATTGTTCCCCAAGGGGAAAGGCAGAGTGAGGAGGTAGGTACATCACCTGCTGTATTGGAATGTACTGGAAGTACCTTTGTGTTTCTCTCACAGTTTGGCCTTGAATTAGGGAAAGGAATATAGACAACAAAGCAAATATGAAAATGGGGTAATCACTTCTGTGTCTAATAATGATGCACCTGATAATTTGGACCACCTCTCCCCCTGAGGATAACTGTTAATAGAAAAGCTATATTAAAAAATAAAACATATATGCTGGGCATCAAAATGTTAACTAGATAATGAAGAATAGCCGGGCCATGATCCTGGAGAAGACAGGGAGGTTGGCCCACTGTGTGGCACTGGACAGTTACTCTGGAAGGAGAAGGAGCTGCACTTTTGACAGCCCTTTCAGGTCAGAAAACAGATTGGAATCCAGGGGGTGCCAAGGTGAGGCAAGTGTCCTGATGAACTTTCCTCACTTTGTTGTTTATAGTGCTGGTATTGAACAGGACCTTGTGTGTGCTAAGCTTGCACCTGGCCCTTGTCCTCATTTTTGATTGGGATCCTGAAAGGGGGCAAGCTTGGGTGACTTGGATGTCAGTAGGCCTTCTCAGTTGGATTGAAGTGACTTTAGATAGTTGTTGCCTCCCGTCTCTAGGCATAAGCAAGCATAAATTTGCTCTGTACAAAAATGCATCTTAAGGCTGAGCTTATTTCTACAATTTTCATAACAGTGTCTTATATGGTGAAAAATAACCAGGCAACAGAGAGACAAAGTAAGAGCAAACCCACAGCAGCTCCAGATATTAAAGCCATTTCACATACGTTAAAACAACCTTCAGTTGCGTACATAGAAATAAAAGGCTTAGCTTAGAATTTTGCCAGAGAACTTAGAACTAAACAAAATCCAAATGTACATCCTAAAATGAAAGCTACAATTTCTGAAATAAGGAATGCGTAGGATGGGCTCAATAGTAAATTAGACACAATGGAAGAGGAACTTAGAGAATTAGAACATCGGTCAGAAGAAAACATCTAGAGTGATAGATGGAGACACAGTTAAGGATGAAAAGCAGACAGAATAAAGTAACCTAGTTACTCAGGAGAATAAAGTAAGAAAGTCAAGTATTTGTGTTGTTGGAGTCTTAGAAAGAGAGGAGAGCGAGAAAATGTGTCAGAAAAAACATCCAAAGAAATAATGCTGTCACCTCCCCAAAGTAACAAGAGACATGAATATATAGATTTAGGAAGCTCTAAAAACCCTAAGTAAGAGAAATGAAAACAAATTATTTTTTTGGGGGGTGGTACTGGGGTTTGAACTCAGGGCCTCATGCTTGCTAGGGAGGGATCTACCACTTGAGTCACTCTACCAGCCCGAAAACAAATTTATACTTAGCCATATTATAGAATTGTTGAAAAGATGAAGAGAAAAACTTTAAAATCAGTAGGAGGAAAGTTCCAAGAGAAAAAAACCCATCAATTCAGTGTTCTAAGTCTAGTAAAATTTATACCAAGAAGGAAGATGAGAGGTTCCAAAGGAGCAAAGCCAAGACATTGATTACCAATAGACCTTCACCATGGAAAATATTAAAGGGATACTTCTCAGGCAAAAAGAAAACAGTCACAGATAGAAGGTCAGAAATACAGGAAGGCATCAGTTAAAAAGTAAACATGTAGGCAAATGAGTACTGGCTGTATAAAATGATAATACTGGTACTTTATGGGTGCGTATGTGTGTACACATTTCAAATATGCTAAGTTAGAAGGGGTAAATGGAGTTAGTGTCCTCTGAGGTTCTTGTATTATCTAGAAAAAGGTAAGCATACTAGGTAATGTTAGACATTACATCAAGGATGCTTGTTGTTATCTAGGGTGCCCACTAAATGAAAATGAAAGTGTTTAACATCCAACTTAATAGGGAAGGAAGAATATAATAAAAATTATACAGGCTAAAAGAAGGCAAGGAAGAAGAGCAAACAAGTAGAAAATACTTACTATTCTAGTAATATACACACAAGTATATCAGAATAATATTAATTGAAAAAGGATCTTACATTGCTGGTTAAAAGACAAAAGAGGGCTGAGGGTGTAGCTCAGTGGTAGAGGGCTCACCTAGACTGCTCTTGGCCCTGGCTCCAGTTCCTAGCACTGCAAGAAGAAAGAGTCAGACAGAGTGGGAGGGAGGAAGAAAGAAGGAAAAGAAGGAAGAAAAGAAGGGAAGGAGGGAGGAAAAATCAAAACAACTAGGGCGGGAATGGGGTAGAAGAAAAGAGTGACACTTGTCTTCATTTACCTTTTCTGTATTAATTCTGATTTTTGGAACCATATCAATGTGTCCTATATATCTCCTCTAATCAGTAAGGATGGGAGACCCCTAACTTGGAATACAAACAGAAACATGAACCTAATTCTGTTTTGGAAAGACACTATAGTCATGTTAAAGGGGAGAGAGGGAGAACTGTAAGCACATACCGAATTCCACTCAATACATTTCTTCTACATGGATTAGCAATTCTAAACATACTTACTTTATATTTTAAGATGGACCAAGTAAGTGAGTACAATCTGAATAATAACAGCAAGTTTTCTGGGGGAGGGCTAGAACGAATCATCTGTTGATTAGAATTACAAGTATTTTTTTTTATGAATGTGTATTTTTAATAGAAGTAGAAGTAGATACAGAGGATGTGTGTATGTTTCTTAAGAGTTTTTCTGCTGAGAGCCTGGAAGCAGAGACACCACCAGCAATGAGACACCTACTGTCCAGATCTTGGTTTCTAAATACTGTTCACCATGAACCTGCCTCTGGGCTCCTTAGGGAAATGGCTGATTCACAGGTGGGCTGCTGAGAAATATAAGATGAGCCTGAAATATGTTGTGCCAGACAGGAAGTGCTAAAGAGAATGATAGGGACATGTCAAGAGGACACATTGGCCATCTTGAAGGGGCTCCTACTGGCCAAATCTAGTAACAGATCATAAAAGTCAGAGTCTATAAGACCAAACTGATATGACTGAGTGAATAAGGGGTAAAAGAAAACTCTTAATTACAGTAGAATGCTAACAATTAAATGAAGAAGGAATGCTGGAGTTAGAAAATCAGTGTCGGGGGACACTGTGATAATTGTTTCAGGCAACTTTGATGAGAAATGGAATACTTACATAGCCTCAAAGTATCTCCCACTGGATGTGGTGGATCAACCTGTAATCCCAGCTACTTGGGAGCCAGAGATCAGGAGGATTGCAGTTTGAGGCCAGCCTGGAAAGTTAGTGTGACACCATCTCAACACAAAAAGCTGGGCATGGTGTGTACGCCTGTCATCCTCCCCATGCCGAAAGCATAAGTAGGAGGATCTCGTCCAGGCCAGTCCATGCAAAAATGTGTGACCCTACCCGAAAAATAACTAAAGCAAAAAGGGATGAGTGGGTAGCTCAAGTGATAGAGCGCCTACCTAGTAAGTGTGAGGACCTGAGTTCAAACCCCAGTACTGCCAAAAAAAAAAAAAAAAGAAGTATCTCTTATTAGTTATACTTATTACAGAGAACACAGTAACTTTACAGGGGATAAACCTAACAGACACCACCATAACCAAATGTACAAAATTATCAATTACCAGCAATGGGACAAATAAATACCGTGATACACCAAAGGAGTATGATGCCCCTCCTGTAGTATTTATTTCACAGATGTGTGGCCTGATACTGACTGTAAGAGAGCATCCAACAAACCCAAACCCAAGGGAATTCTACACAAAAAAGCCTTTACTCTTTAAAAAATGCTAAGGTCCTCAAAGATAGATGGAGAAACGATTGCAAATTAAAGGGAACCAAAGAGACATGAAAACTAAATTCAGCCAGGAATCCTAGATTGAATTCTAGACTAGAAAAAGTTTTAAAGGACGTTATTTGGACAATTGGTTGGCAGACTTTGAATAGGTCTGTAGATAAATTTAGGTGATAGTTTTGTGTTGATGCTAATGTCGTGGGTTTTCAAATTGTACCATAGTTGTCTAAGAGAATGTGCTTTTTCTAGGAAATATACACTGAAGTCAGGTCTGCCGCTTGCTCTCAAACAACCCAGATTCAAAAGGATGTGTGTGCAAAGCACCCTGCCCTTCTCCTCTCCCAGGCATTGGTCCCAGGTGGCTCTGACCTGGGGCCCTGCTGTAGCTAGGTCATTTCCAGTCCCTTCTAGTTTCAGTGTCTGGAGAGCGAGGTACAGCTTTTCTGTGTTTCAGGTTCATAGCTGGACTCAGGGATCTGAGCACCACCTACTTAATGTCTAGGAGAGCCAGGCCCCTCGCCTTGGTTTTCTTCTTCAAAAGTATCTTGACTTTTCTGGGCCTTCTGAATTTCCCTGTAAATTTCACAACTGAGGTGTTAAGGGCCCAGCTGAAAAAAGAGCAGCTCCAAGTGTAGCTGTCCAGGCTTCAGCTGTGTCATTTGTCTTCCAGCTTTTCAGAAGAGCTGGTAGATGAAGCCCTTGGGGTCGTGGCTGCGGAACTGCAGGATGTGTGTGAAGACTATGCAGAAGCTGTGTTCACCTCAGAGTTCTTAGAGGCTGCGGCATAAAGGCTACGCTGGAGAAGGGAAGGCACTACCCTGTGTCCTAGAACCAGGAGACTTTTGTCCTCACTGCCTGCCCAGGCCCAGAGGGTGCTGTCCTCTGAAAGGAAGGATATACCCATGATTTCTCTCTGACACAGCAGTGGTTCCGAAGTTTATGTTATGTTTATCAATGCACAGGAAGCTGGAATTGATTATGACAGTATAATTTCAGTTGTATAATTTTCCTATTGGAATATTATGTTCATTTTTCTGGTTTGGTTTGGTGATCCACATGTTTCAGAAGATTAATGAATAAGAAGAATATTTTACACAGGGATTCAAGTTGCCGTTGAAACCCCGAGTGGTCTCAGTGCCAGTGGAAGCTTCTGCTTTCTGTCGTTGGCAGGGTCGTGTTGGGACGCCCATCCAGGCATCTGGTTATGCTGCAAAAGCTCTGCTCATGCAGCGTGGTAGAAATAAGAAGGTCCCGTGCACAGTATTAAACATGTCTTCTTCTAAGGCTCACTTCCCAGGTGATCTTTCACGTTTCAGTCCCTCAGAGTCATTTCTTGCTTGGTGTTGACACACGCTGGTCTTAAAAGCTTTCTCTGCATTCAAAGGACATTTGAGGACTTCAAGAGAAGACCAGGCCTTCTGCTGTGTCCTGTAAAGGTGCAGCGCTCACTCTGTCACCGAGGAGGGCAGAACTTTCTCTCCTCTCTCCCCACACCACAGAGGAGCCCGCACAGGAGGATGGAACAGAGTGGATGGCATGAAGACCTCTAGGTGTCCCCAGAGACAGGAAGACGCCTAAGAACCACATCACTTGGTCTTCCATGGTACCAAGGAGCAAAGCCTCTGTGTCTTTAGAAATTGAATTGAGAAAAACAGAAGGAATGTGCATTAAAAATAGGACTGCTGCCTAGAAGTTTCCTTTAATTACTTGCCTGAGGCCCATTGAAAAAGCTATGGAAAACAAAGGGCATGGGCCCCAGGGAACAATGTGAATCTTGTTAGCACAGCCCAGGTTGGCATCTGGATTGTTTCTGAAGTCCCGTGGTACAGGTGATGGTTTAAGCTGCTGCTCACATCTGTCTGTGCAAAATCGATTTTCGTTTAATGTTAATGTTTTCCTGCTTAACTTTATATGACCTCAGAATGTAAAGAGCTTCAAGGGAATTACAGGTCTTTAACCTGGAGAGTTACATGTGTGCACTTGAACGGGTAGGAGCACCTGTCATTGATAGTATAAAATCATTTATGTGGCAGTTTTTACTGTGCTGGATTTTTAAAAAAAAATAAACTCAATGTTTTAAAGTTATGCATGTCTATACAAAATAATTTACATCTCCTTTTTTTTTTCACAGACAAAGTGAAATGTGATTTGCAGGAACCACTGAGAATACTTTTATATTTGATATGAGCATAGTGGATTATTTGCCACCTAAGAAAAGAATAAATGATAATAAAAGCTAACACTTACTGAGTACATACTGGAGCATCGCTCAGTACCCCTCCCTGCATTGACTTATTTAATCTTTGTGTTGTGGGAGACAGATACCATTGCTCCCATTCTATAGATGAGTGCAAAGAAGCCTGAGAGGGGCTAACTTGGCCAAACAAGACTATGCTCCCTGATGCTGGGGTCAGAGATTCATTCCTGTAAAGACAATTGTAGTGATTTGGAGTGTTGTCCTGCCTCTCCTTGTCCCCACACAGCATGTCCTAGACACTGTGCTCTGAGCAGCCCATTCGCTAAGCACTTCCTGCCACAGCTGGCCTCTGAAGGGTCTGGCCCAGCTTCTTGCCTTGTTTCAGGATCTTTCTGGTCTCTCCTGCATGAGATGATCCCTGATCCTGCTCTGACTCACATGGGTAAGGCTTACGCTTCTGTGTCATGTCTGCTTCATAGGGGCAGACATGACTCCCCCTAGGAGTCGGGGGTTTTCAAGTGAATAAGAGAGGCCCTGAGCAAAGCCATGTGGGTCAGGCAGCAGCAGCAAGAAAAGGTGGAGCAGAAAGGGTGCAGGATTAGTGTTTGTATGGAGTGCTGGCTGTCTTAGCCACTCAAGACACTGGTGAGAATTCCCTGCAGCCCCTGTACATTGGGCTGTCCCTTTGCTGTGGACTTGTGACCACCACAAAGGACTCTAGAGGGACCCCCCTTAGCCAGCTCCTGATTCTTCAGGCTCATAGAAGGCAGCTGTATGTCTTCAATACTGGTCTTCTTCCATTGAGCTCTGCTGATTCAAGAACCAGTATCTCAGATTCATTTGACACCCCATGTGTATTAGTTGCCTGAGTCAACAGCATGGGTCTGGATGGGAAGGGCTACCACCAGACGTGCCATGCTGCTTGGTCCTCATAAAGGCCCCACGAAAACCAGATGGGAACGCATATGAACTCAGTCCACGAGCCACTATTATTGCCGCCCCCCCACCCCCTGCCCGCAGCCATCCTGCTGATGGGTTGCTATAAGCAGCCCTTCTCTTCTGTTTCCATGTCAGCCCAGTTCCTGTAACACAGAGCCCTGCTCTGCTCTCACCAGCCTACTTGTGGCTTCAGCCTGGGCAGAGCCTCCAATCAGGTCTCCTTGAGCCTGTACCTGCCCTCCTGGGTGCTCCTTAGCCATCCTGTGCTCTATGTGCCTGGCTACCTTCATTGACTTCTTGAACCAAATCTGTTACTTCTTGCTGTTTTTCTGGCTGACTGTCCACCTGACCACTTCTCTGGTCTGTGTTTGGGTCTTTTCATTTCCACCCCCGCAGTCTCTGCCTCCCTGCTGCCATGGGATAAGATGCTCTGCCTCCCACCCTCCTCAGAGCCTGGTTCCCATGGGATCCCAGCCCCATTTCGTGCCCTGAGGAAGGCGTTAGGCATCTCCTTGCTTCTGTTGTCCCTGACTTTACTGTGGCCCCTTCACAGGTGTCTGTGCCTCTTGGGAAGCTCAGTCATTGACACATGCCAGCCTCTTCCTGGTGTTTCATTCATTCCCCATGAAACCCAGGGTCTTTGAGCTTTTATCCCTCCCTCCCCCATTCCAGTGCCTTAATTAAAATCCTTTGTGCTAAACATTTGAAAGTCTTTCAGTGGTTTCTGGAGCACCCTGCACTATCTCTGGCTCAGCTGTGAGGCACCCCTAAGAGCTCATGGTGGCTGAGACTGCCACCTCCACACCCTGGGCCCTGAAGCCCTCCCCACCCCCATTCACCACAGCCCCCCTCCCCCACCCCTTCTGCACTGGCTCTCGAGATCACGTGCCATCATTTGCTCCTTGCCCTCCGCTATCCCTCCCCAACCCAATCATGCTTTTCCCTCCTCAGCTTTTCTCCCAAGAATCTCCCACCCACACACCTGCTTCATCGCCTTAGTGAGGTTAGCCTAAGACTCCCCCCTTGTGAGCTGCAGGTCCCATTGCCTGTACGGAGAAGCCCACTGGATGTTCCTGCCCTACCCCCTGCATGAGTGGGGCCTTCACCCAATTGAGTCTGCCTCTGCCCATGGCTGGCAGCTCAAGTGGCAGAGGGAGAATTCCAGGGAGCCTTGTGGCTCTGAAGTCTTATTATCTAGAGCCTCAGGTGCATTTAGATCCCAGCTACAAGGGCTGTGCCATCAATGCCCTAACCCCAGGGTTCCAGGGAGTCCGTGCTGTACTGGAAGGAAGGCCCAGCAGACGCTATACATCGGGCACATGGGAAGCAGAGTCCAGGCCATGGAAATGAGCCAGCCACCAGAATATGTACAGCCACCACCTTGAGGGCCCAAAAACCTCCCCAGGAAGCCCAGCTCCTGAGCAAGCTCAGGGAGAGACAGTGCTGTCCATTGGAGTGCTTTTGGAGAGTTATCGTGAGGTCAAGAGAAGCTACTCAATGGTTGGATTTAACACTACCTTACCTCCCCAGCACTTCTCAACTCACAATTGCCTCTGAGTATATACTTCTCTTTTACCGGTCACCATAACCGCCTTGCTGTGTGTACCAGCAGTAATCTGGCTGGTTAAGAATTTGAGCTGAAGGTAAAATCTTGTGTGACTTCCATGCCTCGATTTCCTAATCTGTGAAATGGGATAATGTCTGTGTATGTGTAAGCACCCAGGGTGACTGTGAGGATTGAGGGGTACAGCCACGAAAACACTGAGAACAGCATCTGGCAGAGTAAACACTCTGAGAGTTATCATGAAGGCCTCATGAAAGGCTGCCTGGTTTGCACAAATAAGCTTGCCTCTGAAGTGCTTCCTCTCTTCTTCCTCCCATTGTGCTCTTTCCTGCCCACAATCCTGTGGCTCTCCTTGCTGCGCCCTTCAGTCTGGACACCTGGCAACACTTCCTAGCTTGGCTTTGGCTGCTGAGCAGCACGTCAAGTTCCCCAGCCAGCTGGCCTGCTTGAGCCACCTCACATCCACGTCCTTGTCCTAGGGCTTCCAGTGCCACCAGAACTTTCTAGGCCAGACCACATCCTTGTAGGGCAAACACAATATTAGTCCCATTTTACAGATGCAGAAACTGAAGCTTAGAAAAATGAAGGGACTGACTTGGGGTTTTGTCACTGTTATGTCTTTCCCTCAAGTGGATGATTCTTAGATGGCCTAGAAAGTCTTAGCAGCTGTCAAATGCAAGTGCAATCTCCGTTTTCTTTCTTTTTTGCAGTACTGGGGCTTGAACTCAGGGACTTGCACTTCCTATGCTAGTGCTCTACCACTTGAGCCATGCCTCCAGCCCACAGCCTCTATTTTTATAGTCAGCAGTATTTACTGTGGCCCTGCTCTGCGCCAGGTGCTATGCTTAGTTCTAGGCATGCTACAATGTCCTTCCTCCCTTCCTCATGCAGCCCAGCCCTGAAAGCAGGTCAGAGCTGAGCTGCTGCCTCAGTTTCCACCTGCTCCATCCTAACCTGCCTCACTCATCCCTATATTCTTGCTCAAGCTAGGCCCTGCCTGAAGCCCCACCCCCAAAATAGTGACTGTCGCTCCATGGCCTGGGTGCTTTCACCTTGTTTGATTCTCACATTAACACTGAAGTAGACAGTATTAACCCATTTTACAGATAAAAATGAAGCCACAAGTGGTGGATGCTTTCCAGCAACAAAGTGGTTGTCACTGTCTTTGACTACAAATGTTGAACTCTTCCCAGAGTACTGGACAGCCCCTCCCTCCAGAACCTTGGCACCCAGCCTGCTGCTGGTCAGGCCCCCACTCAGTATCTGGCCAGGGACTGGGCTCTGTGCTGAAGAGACAAGTTAGGCTGCAGCCACAAACTGCACTGTGCTCTCACATGTGACCTCGGCTTCTGGTGCCAAGTGGCACTTGCCAACCTGGACATGCTGGTAACTGCCCTGGCCGGGGCTGGACCTGGGCTTGCTGAGCCTGTGAAGTACTGCTCTGCAGATGACCTTCTGGCTCTGCCCAGACCACCATAGTGCCAAAGTCATTGTTCCCAGCCCCCTCCTCTAGCTCGCTCCTCTGCCTCCCACAGACATCGTTCTCAGGCAACATCTCCCCATGTGGCGGGCAAATGGGCACCAACAGAGTCAGCCTGGTGATTTTCCTTTTTAGCAATCACAACAGAAAAGATGCCAGCAAATGCCCCGATAACAGATCCTTGCCTGTGATTGGCCCAGCTCTGGTAAAAGCCCACCTCCCATCTAATCCTTCTCCAATTGGTCAGATCAGAGTCACATGTCCACCCTGAAACAGAGGATGGCTCAGCATCATTGCAAGGACATGGACAGCACATGGATGGGCAGCTGTCCATAGGAAAACTGAGGCCCCATTATCCAAGGCATACCCAGCTGGGAATGGTACTCAGTGGTTGTGTGTACTTAGTATGCACAGGCCCCAGGTTCAATCCCCAGCACCAAAAAAAACACATCTTAAGGCTAGGGATAAGACAAATTTCAATTTGCATTAACAGCCATTTAAGGTCCAGTACATACTGTGGAAATGTCAAATCAGGCAGAGTGAAATGGAGCTGAGCTGGAAAGAAAGGCAGCATGCTTCAGCTACATATTGGAAGGAGGAGTTCATTCTTCCTGCCCAAAGATGGCAGCTTGGGTGGTCTTCTTGGAGGAGGCAGTGTTTGAGTTAGACCTTCAAATATAGTTGAGATGTAGTGAAAAAAATAGGAAGGCAGGGCCTCCAGATGGAGGAAATAGCACAGACAAGGCCTGAAGTCTTGAGGAAGGATAGGTGTGCTATACTGTGATCAGATCATGTAGGTGGCGAGGGTTCAGCCAGAACTGAGGCTTCTTCACATCATGGTGAAGGTAAACAGAAGAGTATCAT